ATATGTCCAAGCGTGGCCTTCTCATGGACTCCATGACGCTCAGCGGGCCAGCCTTGGCGCCCATTGGCTTGCCCCTAGCAAGCAAGTTGGCCAAGGCAGTAGCCATAGCGGTAACCTCCTCACTAGCCTCGCCACAGTGGGGGCCAGCTTCTCAGCCTTGGCGAGCAGACTTGGCAACTTTTTTCGTTTGTCTTTCTGTCTCTTAGTAGTCAACCTGTCGAGTTGTTAACCTATGCCCAGCGCAGCGGGCCCTTGATGGGCCCGCTTTCTGGGCATGTATATATAGTTCTAGCTTTCCCACCAACACAGAAGAGTTTTACACGTCCTTTCACAGCCGCAGGCGCGATCAATCTCGATATCGGAAACCTTGCAGAGGACGAGAGCAATCTACAGCTCATTATGACAATAAAGAGTCTGCTTGGCCTTGGTCACTCCCACTGCCAGAACTAGGCTCTACGGGTGCTACGGACAGCACTAGCAGAGACGCACCAATGACATCTAAGCAGTTGCTTAGGGCTCCATTGGAAACAAGAACGAGTCTACTCGGAGTCGATCGATGTACTGTTGTTCGACTTTGGTGATACTAAAAGCATACTGGCCATCGCTCCTTTAGCCGGGTTAAAAAAGGGAAGGTTTCACACCAGCTCCTAAGCATTCGATTCTCAAATGATTTTGGGTTAATGCGCAATTTTTGACATTGATTTTTCTCAGTCTACTATAAAGAACTTGAAAGGCTGCAACGTGGGGAGAAGCTAAGTGACCTGGCTCGTGTAGTATCCGAGAGGACCTGCTTATTGGAGAAAGAGCTCCATTTTTCAGTGGCGCAGGTGGTGCGCTACAGGGAGGCTATTGCATTGCTCGAAGCCGAGACTCGAAATCTGAAGTTATGATGGAGCTGTCGTACTACTCTTAATTATACTTTTGATAAACACAAACAGCCCGTTTGTTCACTGAATGGCCTCAGAGATAGACGCGAATAGGTGTAAAAGAGGTTCCGTGACATGACATGGCTTCACTTCTTAGTGGAGTTGAGTATTTCTATTTCCTTCTCCATATACGACATCTTCAAGAACGCCCTTCTTCCGAAGGTACTAGATTGTCGAAAGGTCCCAACAGGCCTGATACTTAGATCCGGACCAGAGATAGCTTAAGATGACCAAGAATCTCACACCTAAGGATTACCTCGACAAGAAGATAATGAGATCATTCACACCTGGGCTACAACAGTTTATCATTATTTATCTAGGGATTACTACACTACTGGAACAGACACTGTCTTATCTAAGGATTACGCTACTGGAACGCTGTGTGCGCGAAATCGAATTATCAGGGTCCAAGCTGTCGGAGCGTTTGAAGAGGAAGCTGGTAGATGCGCTAAGAGATAGGACTGGAGCGAGACAATAGTTTGTGTTTGCGAGCGAGGACAGCACGAGGGGCGATGGCTTTCACAATGGGACACTATCTTCCTGGTCAACATGTTGTCGAGGTGTGATGAAGACGCGCCAAATTTGCAAGGTAATGACACGAGCGACGAGAACGGCGTCTAGATTGTTCGTTGCAGGCAATCTATCATGATGAGTGCTGGTGAGTGGTCGTGCTTGCTTGGCGGATACTCGCCTCCTTACGCTGCTCGACTGGAAGCCGCAGAAGAAAGTATGACGAAAGCTAACTGTGTACGATGCGAGTGGTCTTCCCCGATGCAGATTCCCGCCGATACGAGTGGAGGGTCCGGTGCAGCTAGCGACTCGTTCCACTCGTTCTCCAAGCGGGAAGGACTGGCCCAGCAAAAGAAAAACAACCGAGTCGATCCGAATAAAATTGCAGCACGAATTCAAGGTGCTGCACAAGGCTGACTTGTTGGTGCATACAGCAATTTCCGCGAGGGTGTATACTATCAGTTTAGGTGCTGGTTTCCCTCGTTGTTTCGGATATCCTCATCTGTTCGTCCCTATCCACAATTATTGTCTCAGATCGATTTCAATCTATGTGAAGGAAACAGCATCATGTTGATAACGAAGATGTTGAAGATCGTGCTGCAAAACAAAGGACAAAATAGGGTTAAACAAGAGCAACTAGAAGCGTTACTCGATCTCGGACCCGATTATCATCAAGTGTCGTCGACTTTTTACTCCTTCCCTACTTCGAAGTGGATCTTTTTGTTGTTCTCTATCTCCTGATTCCTGAAGAAGGTAATAAAGATCTTTAGAAAGGAAGATCGGCTTCGGCGTACTTGGATCATGAGAAAAGCAAAAGCACTCCCCGTATCGGATCGATCCAGCAGTCCTTGCATTATACAGTGGATGATCTTCTCTTTGACGACAATGCAAATCCGACGAGCGACGCAGGTCTATAGATCGTTCTTGAATATCTTGGAATAGATCCAAAACAAGTAGTACTTGATTGAAAACAAAAAAAAATCAGTTATGCTTGCGCACGGTGTAGTTGTATAAAAACAGATTCAGATATCGTCACTGAGAATAATGTTTGTCATTGTAACCATGTGTGATTTTTTACGGTGAGTGATGTATCCAGTGGCCTGCATTGCATTTTCTCTGAATGTTTGTTTCTAGTCACTTTCACTACTAAGACTTTGCATGATTTTTCTAGAAGCACGCTCGCGCTATTAGACTATAGCAATTTATTGGGTCAGGATCAGGAACGAGTTTTTCCTGTTCGGGATCTGGCCATTGATTTCTTTGAGTAAGTTTGATGCACAACATTGTAGTTGTTCAACATTTTTAGCTTGTTTTTTCTGAATAAAAGAAATCCGGAAAATCGTCACTGCAGTAGATGACAAGATCGGAAGTATTAAAACGGTTTTGTTACTGGTGATGCTATCTCGATCATCAACCGTAGCCCCAGATCCTGGTACTGGGAGCGAAACTAGCAGTGTTCCCGACCTGGCCGAAGGTGAAATACTTGGATCGTTAAACAGGACAGGATCAGGAACTTCAGACTTCATCGCGGGAAGCTTGTGCCCCACTTCTTCTAGGTCAACCAAGATGACGGCGATGGTACTAGATCAGTGTCCCGACGGAGCGGCTCTTCTAGGTGTAGCAGGTCAAACACAAGCAGAGTCCTCAAACGCACCTACCAATCATCAACAAGAAGAGCCTCATGATTTGAGTGGCCTTTTCATCGAGATGAACAAGGCGTTTATGCCAACCAGAAGAACGCCGAAACGTATTCATTTTGTTTGTTTCTCTCATCACGTTAACTTCGTCGGTCATAAAATCGGGCAAATTCGCTCGGTATCATCTCTATCTGCATTTTTTGGGCCTGGAGTGTGAAGACCCAACTCAAGCTCATTTTCTCGTTTTCTCATTTGAGATCAATGATTTCTCTGTTATCTTTTTCTTCTCCCTAATTCCCACTACACCCTTGTTGTGGTGCGTTTATGCTCCTCTTATGTCCTGTAGGGTTTTAACGTTTTTCAAACCGTGCTTTCTTCGTTTTTTTTTTTTTTTTTCTCCACCCCTCCCTCCCCTGTACTCTCAACAGAGGCTCGTTAGTCTGCATCGAGGTGTAGACTACCCTCTCGAGAGGCGTACGTGGGACGCTGGACATGCTGTGATAATCATTGATTCTTCACAAAAAGATCATCATGATCATGATAGCATTTGGCATTATTATAAATGTTTGCTTAAGTGGTTTCTTTTTGAGTAATTGAGTGTAGTCCAGCGATGGCTTTGAGTGCTTGTCCCACGGTGAGCGCCCCTTGAGAGGCTGAGTCGAAAGAGGTTTGAGACCAGTTTAGATTAAGAGAAGGAATTTGGAAGGCAGGCGTTCTTCTTTCAAACAGAATATGGTAAGGGTGCTTTGTCTTCCCCGTCTCAGTGTAATTCTCTAATTCGTTTTAGTTTTAAGATTTCTTTAGCGTTGTGACGCTTCATCCTTGAAAGTCAGCTCGTGCAGTAGTCCTAGGGTATCTGGAACGACATGTCTTCGTCGGCGAGTAGCGTTAAGGCTGCTAGGGCCGCGTTGAAGAGAAAGGTGAAAGTGGCTCAAGATTATGTCGATCGCATTTTGGCTGACGCAGACGTGGCTCACAGCAGGCGTTTCACTCCGGTAATTGATCCGGAAAATTTGAGTCTTGTCCTGAAACAACTTCCATCTTCTTCCTCTCTTGATCACGGGGAACTCCTCCTTGAGGAGTTGGTGTCTGAATCTTATATGCCTGCTCCGTCCGTTGAGGACTGGAGGCATTTCGATAGAGAAGACCACAGGGTGGTTGGTTTCAAGAATGTCGCGCTGCTGCGGCGACTAAATCAACTTTTTCATTCGGAGGACGCTGACGCTTGGAAGCTTGTCCTCGAGGGTGGCACCACGCATGGTCAAGTGTGGTGCCCGGATTCGTGGCCGTTTCGTAAGGCTAAGGCTGTAGATGATGAAATTGATAAGATAACTCGCAGGTGTAGGGCTGCGTCTTTCTTGAATAGGCCTAAGCCGTTTCATCTTGATGACGGTATAATTGCGAAAATTTGGGAAACCACATTGGAAGAGGTCGAGATGGGTATGCTGGGAGAACCCATCGCGATCTCTAAATTAGACCCGTCTGTTTCTCATTTGGTGCCTAGGTTTTGTGTACAGCAGAAGAATAAATATAGAATGATCGATGACGCGCGTGTTTTTAATGCGGATTGTAATTTGAATCGTTTGGTTCCTCTTCCCAGTCCGTTAGAAGCACTAGCTTTGGCGACTGCTACCGCCCGTTTACAAAACAACCCAGAGCTGCCGCCTGAGCTTGTTGATTCTTTTGTTATAAATTCGAGAAAGAGGCCGTTCGCGGGCTCTGAGACTAGGAAAAGCGCTGTGGTAGTAAACGAAGAGCTCCTTGCTGGGGGTGATCCTGATTTTGGGCTTGAGGAGTCTAGCTTGAATGTGGACGGTGTGGTCATTGACGTCGAAAAGGCGTATAAGACTATCGGGATTAAGAGTGGTCATGACGCTAAAAATTTTATAGCAGTATATTCACCTTCCGAGGAGTCTTGGTTTGCTTTTGAAGCTTATACCCTCGTTTTTGGTAATACCCATAGCGTTGTTGTGTGGGTGCGCATTGCGCAGCTCATTAGTAGCATAATCAGAAAGTTATTTTGTATTCCTAATAGTGTATTCATTGATGATTTTCACACATTTTGTCGGTCAGGATTGGGCGTCAGGGTTTCTAAGTGTATCTGTAATTTATTGGACGTTCTGGGTTGGTCGTATAAGCCTGAGAAAGTTGATGTATCAGGGGTTAAAGTAATGCTTTTGGGTCTTGTATATAATTTAATTGGTCGTCCTTCTTTGGAGGTCTCTGCACAGCGGAAGAAAGATTACATTAGCTTGATTGAACAGAAGTTGCACAGTGAATTGTTGGCGCCGGGGGATGCGGCGCAGTTGTATGGCAAGCTTTCTTTTGCCTTTTGTAGTTTGTGTGATAGAAGGTTGCACCCTCTCCTCCGTCCTATTATGACGCGCATGTACTCTGAGAACACTGATTTCTCAATTCACCGGTGTCTGAAGTTGAGTCTCGTGGCGGCGCGTGAGTTTTTAGGAGCCCTACCGCCTCGAGTTCTTTACGTAGCCCCAACTAGGTACGTCATCTACACTGACGCCAGTTGGAGGCGGGGAGAAGGTGTAATCGCGGGAGTGTTGGTCGACCTTTTCGATGTGTCGTCGTCCCGGAAGTCACTTGGGAGAATGTACTATTGGAAGTTTGATGTGAAGGAATCCGACACTTTCCCGAAGGTCGCTAGATTCCCTATAAATTTTCTTGAGGGGGTTGCCCCTGTGATCTCGTGCTGGTTATGGCGAGATAAGTTAGTCAAATCTAAGGTAGAAATTTTTATAGATAACTGTTCCGCGCAAGGAACTCTCACAAGAATGAACAGTGGTCGTGCGCATATGGCGGCCTGTGCATACGTTTTTTGGAAGTTCTGCACATTTAACCACATATCTCCTCTCTTGGAAAGAGTTCCGAGTGAACTGAATCCCGCTGATTTACCGACCAAGAAAGCTCTTTTAGAGTTTTTCGTTAAAAATTTTGATGTGACTGAAGTGCCTCTCGGGGACAAGATCGTTGGTGATATCTTGAGTCTTTTGATGTTAAATGTGGAGAACGCTGACGTTTTGTTATATGATGGACAGGCAGATGCATAGGGTGACAAAAATGCACAACTTTCTTTTGCCGGTTAGGAAATTCTTTCTTTCTTGTGTGTGTTTTTTTCCGGAAGGATGCGAGCTGTTGCTTCTATGGAGTGATGGTGTGTTTTGTGATTGGAGAGTGAGAGCAATTGTGTCATGCGACTGCCCGATCAATTTGGCTGGTGCCTTTAGACACCTGAGTGGAAATTTGAGGGATAGCATTTTGTTGAGACTCACTCCTTTCCTTGGCTTTCGTGTTAAATTACTGACTGCGTCTCCCTCCATTAAAAATAGACAATTTAGTTTGGTTTCGACTGTTCTAGGTTCATCATCCTCAAGTTGGGTTTCTGATACTTTGCTGCTCTGAAGCGGTAGTTTAGATTCAAGATGGCGCACATTGAGCACAACTTCAATGAGCTGATCAACGAGGCCAACCGTGATCGCCCCGATCAGACCAAGGCATTCGGGAATTTATTCAGTCTGGTTGTTTTCCTTAAGCTGCATTGATGCTCGACTTCGGTTGATTTGTAGATCACTTGGTTTGTTAGCGTTACAGTTTTAGGTTGTATTGGATATGATTGAGAAGTGATCTTCCTTTCTTTTCATGCATTTTGCTTAGGTGCGCACGGTGAAGCAAATTATCCAGACCCAGTTCGGCGTTTTGGTTTCCGCTATGGGAGAACGCGAGATCAATGACATTGAGCGGTTTTGTATGTCTGGATCTCTCCACGAGCGTCCGATTCCGTCCGGTGAGAATTGCATGGCTTGCGTTCTCAAGGATGCTACTTGTGTCACTCTTTTGGGCGGGTATATCCCGCCGGTTGAGGCTGTCCCGGAAATTCCGGCTGTTGAAGATGGAGGTGAGGCGATTCCTGGCGTGCAAGGACGCCCGGCGACCATCGAGATGAGTGCCGTTTTGACTGCTCATCGCATCAACAGCGACTTGCTGCAGGCACTTATTTTTGCGATTTAGTGACTATAGATGGACATTGTTTTCTTTCTTTTGTTTCTTAAGTATTATCTTTGTTTGCTCACTTTCTTGCTAGAAATGCGTTTCATCTTGTTTAGGCTTTGTAAAGGTCCTCTATATTTCTTTCATCGTCTCCAATCTTTAGATTTTCGCGTCTAAGACGTTGTCGGGTTGCGATAATACCATCAAGAAAGCCGCCACTGTCGAAGTTTACAGTCGTAACATTGCGCGCTTGGCCGGAAATCAACTGATCGGAGGAATGGACTACTATGCTCGCATTTTGGCCTTCTTCCAGATGAGCTTCACTGAGGCGATTGAGGGATACGTTGACAGGTTCTGGAGTTATTAAAAATTTGACGTGAGTCGTGATCTTGTCGTTGTAGCGATATTAGAACGCGATGTGGACTTCGCGTCTCAATTTGGTTGTTAGTGTTTAGTCGTTTCTTCTTGTGGGAAAAATCAAATCTATTTTCTTATTCGATGTCTCGTTTTTCAGACTTCGTGTACTTCGACTTCGTTGAATCTTTCGTCTTCAGGGCTCGCGCCCAGGCTTTGTCCGTCGAGTTGGAGAAGAAGTTGAAGTCGCTTCAGTATGCTACTCCTCTTCGTGGTGAGCGTGAGCGTCCTAGTCCTTACGGCTCTCCGGATAAGCAGGCCAAAGGCAAGGGCAAGGGAGAGCGCTACTGTTTCAAGTGGATTAACACCCCGAAAGGTGAGCGTGGGGAGAAGTGTGATGATGAGAACTGTAGATTCAAGCATGTCGTCCCTCCTACCAAGGAGGCGTGTGAGGAAGTGAAGAAGTATGCATCTCGTGCCCTCGCTTTGTGGGATATCGAGGCTGAGTTCGCTGAGTAATTGGCCTTTTTCAATCACAGATCGAGGACTTTTGCTTCTAAATTCGCAAGAGACTTTTTCTCCAATGAAGATTTAGATGGTTTGTTAAGGGGGGGGGATTTGACTTTCTTCATTTCGTGATTCGTACCTTTCAGAAGTCCTTTTGCGCTTTTGGCCATTTAGTCTGATTGTCTGTTACCAGCACTACCACGACGATGGAGATCTTCTGTTAAGTGATCTTAGTTGTCATCTTTGATTTTTTTAATGATTCTAAAGATTTCTTTTTGTTATCTAAAAACCAAGAAAATTTTTTAAATTTAGAAAATTTAGATTTAAGATCAAATTTATTTCGTGCGAGCACTTCCGTGGTCTTTTGAAATAATTTTGTTTTGAATAAATATGTGGATGTTTCAGTATAGTTGTCTTCATAAGAATCAAGCTAGTAGTTCTGCTTCATCGAGTAATTCTGCTCCTGGTACGAATCCAGGCGGGTTTGGTTTTTGTGCGGTTCCGACCAACGTGACCTTTCCCGGTTTAGTTCAGTCTAGTATTGGTCCTTATAGTATTTCCTCCACTTCTAAATCCGTTAAGGCTACTGCGTCTTCGTCGGGTATTAGGATCGTTGGGGGTCTCTTTTGCCCTACATCCACGAATAATGTTGTTCAGAATTCATCTGTTATGACTCCAGAACTAGTCCTACTCGCTCGTAATAATGAAATTTTGTTTGAACGGTTCAAGACTTTGGTGAACCAGTATCGTAAGCAGACTTTTGGCCAGAACCTTACTGCAACGAAGAAGATAGCTATTTTGGCTAGTTACGGGCCTTCTAAGGCGAAGCAAGCTCTGCTAGCAAACACAAATTTTATAAAGGGGGAGTCTTTGAAGGATTGGAGCAATTATTTGAGTTATTTTAAGTCTTTTCTAAATTTAGCGACTGCTAGGGGAGAGCGCCCGTTCCCCCTTTCTGTCGGTAGATTAGAGGATTTTCTTGCGCTGTATAAATCTAGCGGCACCATGGGAAGTGCGCGATCTGCAATGAAGAAGGTTTGTGTCACTTTGAAGATCTCCTGGCCTGAGGGCGCCGCGTCTTCCACCATTTCGCGGGGAATCAAGAGGCATCAGCCTCTTTCCGCGGCTAAGTCCGCTTTTTTGGCCGATGACATGAACAAAATCTTTGAATTGGAGAAACTACCGGAGAAATTCAAGTTTTTGTTCGCCTTCTGTTGGGTTTTTCTCCTTAGATGTGGCGACGAAGGTTTGTCCTTAAGGAAGTTCGGATCCGAGGTTGAGAAGGACCGAGCGTTGAAGCTACAACATCAGTCCTCCATTTGGTGCAATAGTGCAGAAAGAACAGTTTCCATCAGGTTCCTTTCGAGGAAAAATAAGGTCGAAGGCGACATTGTGACGAGATCTTGCACTTGCAGTCAACTGTCATCTTCTTCTTCGTCAGTACACTGCGCTACAGTAAAAATCAACTGGGCTGTTCACTATTGTCCGTTCTGCGTGCTTTGGAAGAAGTTCGTCATGCCGAAGAAATCTGGCAGTCCTTTGTTCTCAGGACTATCCTATCAGAAGGCATTGAAGGCCACGAAGTGTGCAGCTTCTTCCATCGGCGCTGTCGGTAGTTTTGGAACGCATTCGTTCCGTAAGGGAGGAGCTAGCGCGATTGCGCTGGCCGGTGGGTCTCTGCAAGAGATATTGTTGGCAGGATCTTGGTCAGCTAAGAGTGACGCTTGGCGTCGCTATGTTTCATTGGCTTCAGTCGAATCTAATGCGATGTCAGCTGTCGCGATTTCTTCAGCTCCTTCTTCCTCCTCCAATTCCGCAGCTCTAGATCCGATTTGTAAGCAAGTGCAAGCATTTAACACCGCTCAAGAGTGTATCAGTGACGGAGACTCTATTTGTGATTCGGATAGCGAAGGTTGTTTGGCAGACATAGAATTTGAAGACGAAGAATAAGATCATGCCGTCCCTCCACGAATTTTCGTGCCGTGGCTCTGCGGACAGCGGTGTGGATTTTGCGAACTTCATGCTGAGGCTCTTCTTCATCCTCATCTTTTGCGCATTCCTCATGCGCATCATCAAGTTAGTAGAACAACTAGTGAACTTCTTGCCCGAGAACTTGAAATATGTGCATCATCATCTAGCTGCTATCGATTCTGAGCTGGGTAACATTCATTTCGTTTTGACCGACCAAGGTTTTCGTCTCGGATACGGCGAGAATCTTTACCCGACAAACTGAGGTGGTTTCGTGCTGTGCCGTTAGCGACAACTTGCACTTCTTGAACTTCTAATTTTCGGAATTGGTCTCGAGGAAAATCGAACTTGCTGAACTAAACTTGTCCAAATTTCAGAATGAAATCCTGCTGATCTCTCACTTCGATGACTTGCATATTGGAGAATTTTGAGCTAATCTTTTTTTTGGCGCAGCTATTCGTGTAATTGAAAGTAGCGTTTACTCCTTTACAGGAGAGCAGATGAAGGACGCAGCCTCTATGAGAGCAGCGTCCACCTTGCAAGAGATCAAGTGTTCTTTCGCAGCCTTGTTTTTTCCCCAAATCGCAGGACTTGAAGCGCTTGTGATATGTGTTTATAGTTATCTTCTTGCGCTTTGCGCTGCGAAGGAATATGTGAGCTCTGGCAAATATTTTCTTGCATCACGGTCTGCTTTGCTACTTTCCCCACCTCGTTCTTACAACACAGGCATAAATACGCTCAGTGCGGATGTATGCAGTGGTCGAACTGCAGACGAGATCCGTCTCGAGCGGCAATTGGGCTACTACTTTTCCGACAAAAACCTTTGGAGAGATGAGTGGCTCGTTGCGCGACTGGGCGGCGAGTCCTGCACGGGCTGGATCGACGTGGATGTGATCGCGAGCTTTCGTCGCGTTCGCCAAATCACGTGCTGCCCGGACGTGGTGTTGGCCTGCATGAGGCGTGTGCCGGGTCTCGAGGTTCGACAGCGGCCGACCAGTGCGGAAGATGCTGGTGGATTAGGAGGACGTGCTGTTCTGAATAACAACCAGGAGAATCAACATGCTAACGGTGGTGCGCGTGCGAGCGAGGTAGACCTTCAAGGAGACGCTGCGGACACCGCGTCCGAAGTGAGCACAACACCGCTGTTTATAAAAGAAGCGCGACGAAGTCCAAAAAACAGAAGGAGCGGGAAGAACGGCTACGAAGTGCGTCGCACAAAGCCTCTGCCAGCGAAGCTCACGTTGCAGCCAACAATGTCAGAAAGCTCAGTGCGTTCGAGCCCAGAGCACGGAGCAACCCCGTCGATTAGTAGTAGCGTAGGAAGTAAGGTGATTCTTTCTGCGAGTTTGACTGCTGGTGGCTCACACGGGGCGTCGAGCGCGCTCGCAGGAACGAGGCGACACAGCAAAAAAATGTCGGAGCACGACTCGGATGACGAAGACGCCCGTCAATTAGGTTCTACAACGACACTGGATGGCCCGCTCGTGATGAACCATTCTGCTCCGCTTCTCGGAATGGGTCCTGCTACGCCAGGATTTCCACCTTGTTTTTCCTTCGGCGCTCCTGGAAATGGTGCGGTTCCGAACGGAGGAGGAGTGCCCTTACCGTCGGGCCGTCTTTCAGTGGCGGGTCTCTCACCGCGTCACGCACAGCGCGGCATGATTGGAGGAAGTGGCCCTTCGATGCAACTGGGTGGTGCAGGCGGTCATCCTCCTTCTATAGACTTCCAGGGTCAGCAGTACCATCTTCCCGGGTCTTCGTCGTCAACGTCAGCGAGTCAACAACAGCTACCCGCGGCGACCCCAGGTTTCCGGCAGGTGCCGAAAACCGGCGTCATCTACGTGATGGACGAGGCCGCCAAGCACGGCTACAGCGCTGCGACCGCCCATCAGTGGGCCAACTTGGGGCAGGGCTCTCCGGAAACCACCGCACCAAAGCACTGGCCCACGAACGTCCGTAACCGGATCAAAGAACTAGTGGCAGACGGGAAGCTCGCCCACGAGCAAGGGCCCTTCGCGGATTTGAAGTCACTGGAGGTAAACGCAGAGAACCTTCACTACGGCAACGTCAACGGAGACTTGGCGTTAAGAAAAGCCGTGGCAAAATTCTACAATGACATGTACCGCAAGGGAAAGAGCTCCGTCTACACAGCGGAAAACGTGGCACTGGTAGGCGGAGGGCGACTTGCGCTCACCCGTCTCTGCACCGCCATGGACAACATCAATCTGGGCCATTTCCTTCCGGATTACACGGCGTACACAGAGTTGCTGTCGCACTGCAAGAACATCAACAGCATTCCGATCCCCCTGAACCCGGAGAACAACTTTCGCGTCACGCTGCAGGAGCTGCGACGCGAGATCGTCGGCAAAGGTCTCTCTGCCTTGCTCCTGAGTAACCCATGCAACCCGACGGGGCAACTGGTGGAAGGCGAAGAACTCAAGAACTGGGTGCGCATCGCGCGTGAAACACAGTGCTCACTGGTGCTGGATGAAATCTATTCAAGGTACTCAAACTTCTCATTTCCTTGCTACAAGAGTGGCTTTCATTTAGATGGATCATCTGCGTAGTTTAGATTTACTACTCCAAAGGTTGTCTTACCCGATGAAGATGATGCAACTGAAAAGTGGAAGTTTGAGCTTTATTTCTACAAAATAAGTAAGCTTCGGCGCATTTCTTTAGTCCTCCTCTACAGTACTTAGTACTTGTTTTATCATTCATCTTGTCACTCACAGGTATGTCTACACACAACGCATGGCCCCGACGGACGCCATGTGGCGCATGGTTTCTGCCGCTCAGTTTGTGGAGGACGTTAACAAGGATCCGATCATTATCCTAGACGGCCTAACCAAGAACTGGCGCATGCCTGGTTTGCGTGTGTGTTGGATCGTTGGACCGAAAAACGTGATCGAGGCTGTCGGCGCAGCAGGCAGCTTTCTCGACGGCGGTCCGTCGCTGCCGACGCAGCGCGCTCTGGTGCCTCTGCTGCACCCAAAAGCGGTCGTCGAGCAGACCGTGATGCTGCAGTTGCTCTTCGCGCACAAGCGGGATTTCTTGCTGAGGAGGTTAGCCGAGATGCAAGTGATCGTGGAACACCCACCCCAGGGAACGTTTTACTGCTGGTGCGACCTGTCGCAGCTACCTCCACCGCTCAATCACTGCTGGGGCTTCTTTCATACCATGCTGCGCGAAGCGAAGGTGATTGTCTGCCCAGGAGTCTTTTTTGACGTAAATCCGGGGTATCGCCGACAATTCTCGAATTACATGACGTTTGTGCGCCTCTCCTACGGCCCGTCCTTTCAGGAGATCAAGCGCGGTCTAGACGCCATTGAGAAAGTCATCCGCAAATACCGGGAAATCTACCGCTCGCAACAGTTCTCTTACATCCCAGATCAACCAACGCTGCTGGGACCTGGCCACTAGAACAAGGAGCGTTCTTGTCTTCTTCACTGTCCTACTGCGTGCTGGAATAGTCTATTAGAGGATGCAACAGTGGAAAAATCTGGGATAGTATAAGTCTCTAAGGAGTCTACTTGTAACTAACTATGACTAACGATTATCATCTAGTGTTTATAACAATTCGTTAGAAGAAAATGAAAGTTGACTATCAATAAAGTATCAATGCCGAAAACATTATACAACCTCCTGAGGCGAAAGAAATAAGACGTGCGCAGACACAGCATTTTTTTCACCGCTGCTCGGCCTCTTTAATGCAAGTTGATTCCCCGAAAATGTTAGGACCCTGCTTAGATGATGACCTCATGACCACATCACCTCCAAATGGCCACATCACCTTGACACCTTCAGTGACCAAAGCAGTCCTGTAGATGTCTTTCTTAGGGAGCTTCGAAAATGAATATCGAAATCGATATCCCTATCGTGAAATTTATGGGAGTGGCAGCTGATCCGTGTTGCTGTGACAAACACGGAGGGTGTTTGTGTATCTGCTATAAAAGGAAATTATAGGAGTGACCTTACGCTCACGGACACGACTTCCACAGAGATGCATGAAAATAGATGCATTGGTGCAAGACTTTGATATCTGGACACAAGAAAGGTATACGTGATGATGAGTTGGCATAAAGATGACCTGTGACGGGAGCGAAGAAATCTGTTATAAACCGAGCGCAACACTTTTACTAGTTTATAAAGAGAGCTGTCATAGTGGTACAGCATCTTTCGAAGTTGAGTGACACACGACTATTGGATAGCCTCAAATAGAACATGCTCCTATGATGTTTCCCAATGAGTTCCTACAAAATGCTACATTCATCTGTGCAACGAACCAGGTCTGTACCTCGTCGAGCGATGGGTTCAAAAAACATATCTAAAATAGGAAAACTAGGTCAGAATCACAATTCTGTCTGAAGAGTGCCTTCCAAATCTGTTTTATGTATGAGAGTAGAGTTGTGTCACTGCAGCCGGAGAGAGTCCTCGCTCTCTACTGTCTCTTGCAACACAACGAAATTTGTGACATTTCTCTATGCTTTTCGGATTCTATGACTTCTTTCTACTAGTAATAATTATGACTTATCATGTTCATGACAGAGAGATCCATCTCCGTCTTGATTGTGTCATACTCATTCTACTGCAGCCTTGTCTTACAACGACCTTCCGTTTCCAGTTCTATGGCGTTCTTATCAATCATAACCAAAACTCATTGCAGCGCAGTTTACACACATTAGCTCTCCTAAATTAATTTCCCATGATTTTATTTGTTGCAACCAAGCTTATCCTAATCCTCTCTCATGCTACTCATCTCCTGAATGAAGTCTCCTCTATGAAATTTATTTGATTTTTTGTTAAGCATTGAGCTACATCAAGACTCCTTCATTCTTGTGCAAAACTAATTCAACATCAGCCCCCTCGGCTTTCATTTCTTGTAGTTGCTTCAGCGAAAGAACAATGATTCTAAGAATTTAGAACCAAATTAGGTGGTTGTACTAGAAAAAACAAATAATTAGTTTTTGTTTTCCTAGGAGGTGCTACTAGAAGAAAATGCGCAGTAGCGTGCTCTACCAGGTCGTCGTAGATCTGGCCAGTGTGAAGACACCAGCTACATCGGCTGACGGCACTCCCGGAGCCAACTCTTGTGACGCGGACGAGAATGTACCATCTTCAAAGAGCTGCAATGGCGCTTCTCTTGACGAGCTGGTGTCACCAGTGGGAGAAATTATGCGTGCGACTCTGCATGTGGTGCGTCTCGGCGATGAACTCTTTCTATGCTTGCCGGAGACCGCTCTGCAGAGGCCACAGGTGCAGAACAAAGAGGCCACAGGAAGTGCGTTTGGAGATGAGACTTCTACACCTGCTCTTCAGAGGAACCAGTCGCAGTCGGCAGAGACTCGTTCTACTACGCAAGACGAAGAATGTTGTGCCTATCGTCCAGTCAGAATTGCAAACGTGGAATGGTTGCGAGACGTCGCAACAAATCACATGCAAATAACTAGCTCAAGTTCAAATTCCACGAGTTGTCCGACTGCTCTTGGTGCTGCAACAAGTGCTCAAGGAGTACCTTGCTGCAGGAGTTCACTCGGAGTTCTGGGCGGTGTAATATCCTACTTTCTGGCTGGCTGTACTGAACAACAACAACTGAAACGCAGCAATGGAGGTGCAACTGGTGCTCAACACAGGAAGCTCGTTTCTACCTCCTCGCGACAGTGCTACGAGTTTCTTCGCGATGCCTTGCTTGTGACCGAATGTGTGGGAGGGGAGAAAATCAAGGACAACTGTGGTCAACAGCAGTGGTTAATTCGTGTACGCAACGCCGAGATTCGTTACTTTTTTCGAAGCCTGATGCTGCGCATGTGCAGCAGCGCGAAGTTGCAGCCCATATTCGATGCATCCCACGCAGAAGCTTTATCGATGACGACATCACAAGAAGAGGGCCATCAAGAGGACAAGAAACAACTAGTGCCGCACCAGAGTTTGGGACCGGTGATCGACCACGAGTCGGACGAGTCTAATATCACCACTCAATCTAAAGATGGTCAACAAAGTAGATGCGGAGAAGAAGATCTTCAGCAACGTGTTGTTGAAGCCTCGGCGTCTCCCACAGCTTCTGTCGTTGAACTCGCAACCACACATGGATCGCAGCCTGTCCACCCTGTGGTAGTCGTTTCCGAGACTATGACTAGTTTTCCATGTGGTCTGTCGACGTTGCTCAAGAAGCGAAGTCCCAGCGAGAGCCCCCCTGAACTCAGAACAAAGGCAACGGTAACAGGAGTTCTGCGTCCCCGCGCGCCTTCGATGCCACCAGGTTCTCGTGTTCATGCTCTGAGTAAAGAATGCAAAAAGGAGAATGACTGCATGTTTGTTGGGGCACCAGAAGACGCGTTACATGATCCGGCTGATGGTTTGGGACGCACCATGAAGAATCCAGCAGAGTCCAAAAATGTCAAAAATCTTCATATTGTTGCGACGACAACGACGGAAATAGCTCTAGAAACGACACTGCGCTCGATCGTGCCTGGGCATCTGCGGGGGAATATGCGTGGTCCTCGTACGCGCAGTTCCAACCCCTCACCCGCTCCATCCTTGGTGCAAAATGGCGGAAAACGCCAACGCGTGAACTTTTCACTGTCCCCCCAGCTTGGAACGCGGGGGTGTACCTTCAAAACCGATACTGATTTTCTACGAGCTGCTGGAGAAGCTGGAGAAGGTTCGTCACCCATGCGACGCAGCGCGTCTGAGAACGTCGTCTCTCGCTACTGCGGACGTTGGGCCCTGCCAGCGGGCTACGTAACTTCGCCAGCCTCCAATGCGACTCGTGCCTCATCATCTCCAACTGCTCCTCATGGCAACGTCAACAACAATAATGTCCAACACACAACTTTCGAACAGAGCAGTCCTTCTGAAAATCAATGTACTTCTTCAGCTGTGATATTGGGAGGAGCAGCCTCTCCTCCAACGGCGACATCATCTTGCGCTTTGCCACAATTACGTAGTTGCAACGACATGATGGCAGGGACAGGAGCTCCTCCTGGCACGAGCACGACCAGTGCTGCACCTTCCACCGAACAGCGAAGAGATTGTAAACAGCGACATCACTCGGCATCTTTCAGTCCGTCTGCGCGCCGTGTGTGCGCCCAGCATCGAAAGATTAGAATTGAGCCCTTTGTTCCGCGTTTAAGTCAAACAGGGCGTTATCCCGACCGCGTCCGAAGGCACTTTGCTGGTGCGTTTCGATCGCTCTCTGTATCTCCGAAAAACAAAACCTCTAGTCCTGCTCACAACCAGAACAAACCAGTGGCGACCACTTCTATGACGGTGGATGAACATGAAACTGCACTGCAGGAAGCGACTAAAACAGGAAACTCCAATGAAGTTGACCAGCTCGCTACACCGGCTCACTTTGATGAAGACGTAGGAAGTCAACATGGATTCTCATCTCGATCCCCTATGTTAATAAAGGATGATCAAGTACTAGAAGCACAAATGCCACTAGTTGAGAGTCATGCCGATCAACAAGACGAACATTGGTTTTCGCCGATGGACGACGAAGTAGAAAATTCTACAAGTGGTCTGCAAAAGGATACCAAAGAAACAGATGACAAGACGTCAAAGCGCCGCTGCAGCACCAGCTTACCTCCTGCGAGACACGGAGGAACGCCGGCTGAGGCCGCTTCACGACCTGCTGAAAATGCTTCTACAATTGTTGAGGACGTAACTCAGCCTCTAGCCGTGGCAGCCGCTGATGTTGTTGTTGAGACTCTGGCGATTCCAATTTTCGTGGAGAAAGCTCTGAACGACAAGAACGTCGTGGCCATCGCAAGTTCGCAAGAACATCAAGCACAACTACACGAGGACCATCATGATCATACCCCGAGTAGACGATATTTTTTGGACGTGATTTGTGGGGATTTCTTTTCTGCGTTTCTCACCTTGGTAGATGTCCTGCGCTTGGAGCAAGTGTGTCGACCGCTCCTTCGCCATTTCCGTTCCACCCCACTGCGCGTGTATCGCAAGGTGCACGTCCGCGACTTCTGTCAGGCATTGCGGTTTGGTGTCGGGCATGGGCGCTTTGTTGAGGAGATCTCCATCCATAATGGACCTAGTGGAGCACTGGCTTATGACGTTGGGCGGTCAAGCGGTTCGAGCAACAAATCTACCACGTCATCCTCTATGTCTGGCAGTGCGAGAGCAGTTGCGCGTCGTCGCGGAGTTCCGCCGCCCCTTCCGCCCTACCAATTATCGGGAACACTAGTTCCGAACATGGCTCCAGTCACGGGACCGGTCTCGTACGCACCTCTATCCAGTGGAGGTGCTGCATTAATTACAGAGCTTCATGGTGGTGATCAACTACTTGCGAGTACTGCGAACATTAGTACCTCCCCGGGCGCTGGCGGATTTGGAACCTCAACCACGATGGCCCCACAAACGACACTGAGCCTTGGTGGCGCAGATTCGATTTTTGATGAGGCCTTGCTCTTTCCCGAGACCATCGCATCAGGAGCCGGGTCCAGTCGCTGGGAAAGCAATCCTCGTTTTGAAGGCCGTTTTGAAGGCCGTCTGGGCGCGGGTGCTCGCAACCGCAGTGGTGCCCCGAGTCCAGTATTCACGCGCTTTCGGTCCCGCGAAGAAGAGCCAGTGCATGGCTTCGCGCAGGCATGGGCCGTTCGCGGAGCTGCACGCGGCTCTGCTGGGGAAACCGCAGACGATGCTGATACTCAGACTCAGTTGATGTTGCCACGACCAGATGAAGGAGACACGACATCAACATCCGAGATTTCTAGAATTCAGGGACAGGGAGACCCTACTTCTCAGCAAACACCAGATACGGGAGCCACACTTCGTGATATGGTGCGCGAGATTCTGCACGATGGTCCCGAGGAGGAGGCAGCTCAAGGAGATGTAAGTCAGATGCGTCGTGCGCTCATGCGAGAGCGCGTGTATTCTCGAGCAAACGAACAGCAGCGGGTGGGTGTTGCACAGCGCCATGCTTCTCATCAGGTACAACAGGGTGTCTGGCCCTCGCAACAGGGAGCGGGAACAATGCTCGCGAATATTCTTGGCGGCCCGGAGCAGCTATCGGCTGGTGCTCCTGGTGCTACGTCGAACATGATCTTCAATGGAACTAGTCCAACTAGAGATCCCACAGCACGAGCACAGCAAACACATCAACAGGTGGTAGATCCGCTAGTTTTGAGTGCGAGTGACGAACAAAGTCTGTGGTCGTCTGTGGGCGGCTCCTCCGGAATGGAGGAAAGATCGATCACGCAGCTTCCACACGGACTACTTGGAAGTTCCTCGTTCGCAGAGGGATCCTCCGCGTTCTCGATCTCCTCGGGTGTGGAGGACACAGCAGGCAGCCAGGCAGAAAGCAGCGCGTCTTCCTCTGCCTTCCACTCCTCTTCGGAGTACAATCATGCTGGGGCCTCGCGACCTCCCTCAAGCACTGCAACAGCTCTCGAACAAGTACTAGCTGGCTCTTTCGGCGTGATTGGGCAACTGGATGATCATGATATTGATGAGGATATCGCTGATTTTGTTGAAAACCAACCGAGAAATTTCCAGCAATTTCCATCCTCATTATTGCGCAGCAACATTCCGGATTACATCCGAGAACATGAACATGAGGAGGACAACATGAATAGAAGCGATTTGGAGAGCAGTCCCGCTGTTCAGTACGACATGGATGGACAGGCCGTAGATGTGAGTTCAGTTTTCGAACAAATGCCGCGTTTTGGCAGCAACACTGATGCAGCGTCTCCGCGTCGCAGCAGCGAAGGGCAACTCGGGTCTTCGATTTTCACGCCGCGACCCGAGGACGAAAGGCCGCGACCGGTGGACACAGCAACACTGGAAGCGCGCAGCGCGATTGCGGATGCCCTTGCTGCCGCTCTTGGCTCGTTGCAGGCGGTTTCTTCTTCTGGCGTCACAACTACGTCTTCTAGGTCTACTGAAGGCCCCAGCATGCGTGGGCTTAGCGCGGATCATGGCGCGCCAGGAGGACTACAAGCCGCTCCTGCCTCGCGTGCTTCACGTCAGCAACCTTTGCAAACAATCGCTTCCGCTTCGAGTCTGGGGTCATCCACGTCCTCTGCGGACGATGCTGCTAGCGGTAGCAGCAGCATGGTTCTTCTTTCCAGTCGGGAAGTGACGCCGCTTATGGAGGACCAAGGACGTCCTGTTTCCGGTACGTCGCCTGCCTCAAGATCGCCTGCCCAAGAACATCAATCTCCTTCGGAACACTACCTGGAGAACCGTAGAATCCTCGGTGTAAGTCTCGAGGAGCTCGCTCGCAGGCAAGGGATGACAGTTGAGCGTGGAGAGAGTCCAACGCGACAAGATGATCATAGTTCGACGGACACTCGTACCCCTCAAATAAATGGACAAACTGAACAAGATGAACAAATAATCGTGTCCTCGCCAGCCATCGCGGGAATGAACAACGACAACTACAGCGGCACTCCAGGTGGCGTTATTCGTCGAGGAAATGGTGGAAATGGGCTCCCCAACTCGGCTCCGCGTATGCGCGACTTCCCTGAGGAACGCAGCTCATCTGGCGTGTGGCCAGGTTCTGAAGCTGGACTTGGAGGGCCTATTGAGACGCCACTTGGTCGCCCTGTCATCCTGTCATCTTCTGGGAAGCAAGGTGGAGGAAAGGGCGCCTCCAATCGTTCGTCAAATAATGTGAGGAATACGATGCACGAGCAAACTGGAGGGGACATCTTCAACTCCGCTGAGAGCAGTATTTTTGCAACTTCCAAGGGAAAAGGCAAGAAGGGCGACGGCAAGAATGGTGCTATTCCGGGGACCATATGGCGCGGCTCTTCATCTTGGCAGGGAGAGTCTACTACAGGAGGGGCTTTAGGCAGCACCACGACTGCAGTTGTAGATACCCAAGCATCACCGGTTTTGCCCCACAGCACAAGCCCCTTCTACGTGGTTTCTGCATCACCAACGCCAAACGCGTCGCAGCACCTAACTAACGACCTGCCGCTAATGGAACGAGCGGAAAGACCCAGTGCACAATTTGCATCATTCCTGACAAACGCTGTGCGTCCTTTGCTGGGTACGGCAGGAGAGGGCCGCGATAGTACTATCTCGACCACCAGCACGTCTGGTAATTTAGGACAGCAGCAAGTTGTATCTCACTTCGGTCAAGCTCAACAAAGCGTGACCGCGGCAGACGGAGAGCGAAGAACGCCAGGATCGTCGGCTATCGCGAGGATCTCCGCAGTAGCCTCCTCGTCGCACATGACAGTACGCACGCCTTCCTCCAGCTCAACCACGCGTAGTTCTCAGCCGTGCTACTATACAGCCACCGGCGAGCTATCCGAGTTAGATCTTTTGTATCCTTTCCTGCGGACTCTCCGCTTGTATGATGTGCCACGCTACGTGCTAGTGGACACCAGCTTGCCCCTCTTCCACCATTTGCAGGTCTTCTGCCTGCGCGGAGGTACCTTCGTGTCTCCGCTGCCGGCGTCAGCCTGCCCGAAGGAAGCGCTCGCCTCCGCTGGCAAGAACGAGTTCCTCTCGTCTCTTTGTGACGAGATGGATTCGTCAGACGCCCCACCTCTTCAAAATTTAGACCGCACTGCCGTTGCTCTGCCACCACTGCACCCGCCAAGCCGAGCGAGGCAGCGCTCGGTCACGGACCGCGAGCAGCAGTCTTCTACTACCGCTGTTGGAGCTGGTGCTGGGTCTGGGTCTACGTCTTCAAAATATAATGTCGAAAGTCCCAAATCGTTGGACTTGAGAATCTTGATCACTGGGTTGGAAGACGTTTTGGGCGAAGACGTTGAACCAGTCTCCTTTGGATGTGCAAAAGACCCACCTACAAGCGGAGGGCCAAACCCAAATGGTGCCGTGAAAAAGATAGAGTCGCCACGTTCTTCTCTAGGGGTTCGCGTCCGTCCTCGTAGTCCAGTTTCTGCGTTCACGAAGAAAGCCCCCGCGCCTGTTTTATCACCTTCTCCTACAGGCGTCGACACTAGTAACTCTAGCGGCGGCTTTGATCACATTGCGCCAGGAGTTGTAGGTGTTGACGGTGGTGGAGCAAGAGTTGCTGCCAGGACAACTAGTAAAAATAGAGTAGGCGCCTCTACTGCCTGCTCATCTTCTGGGACATCAACAAAGGCTCTGGCTCTGCATATTCCGGACCCACGCAACCGCCGTTGGCGTTTCCTCGCCGGCGTGTCGCGAGGCGAGTTTTTCGCTGCGTCTCAGCTGAAGTCTCTCGGTCTAGAATTTGCACGTGTGATCGACACCTTGAAGCATAGTTACCACAATTACCAGTTCACGCAGCTTCTTCTTTCAGCAGTGATCAACTGCACGTCGGACAGTGTTCGCCAGTGCTTCCCGCCTCTGATTGAAAAGGACGGCGTCTTCGGCTGGGCCGCGGGACACAACGTCTCTGGCAACGGAGGACCGCAAAACGGGCCATGGGCGAATCGACGACGTCCGCCACGGCCAGTCGAAGTGTCGACGCTAGTGGAAAAACTCTGCTCGGCTCTCGAACTGACCGCACTGGCGGCTAAGCGCGACGTCGACAAATTCATGGCGTCCTACATGCGCAGTCTGGAGCGCGAACTTGCGGCGATGTCAAAGGTCGTTACTCCACCAGAGCAGGATGATTCGACGTCTTTTCGTGAGGAACAAGATGAAGTAGTCCTGCAGCAGCCCATGGAGGTGTATGGCCAGGAAGAATTGGCGAACGACCAAACTGCAACTACGAGAATCTTTCCTGCTCTAGTCGCTGAAGAGAAAACTGCAATCATGCATTTAGGTGAACGCAATGAGGGACCGGAAATGATGAACTACACAGGGGCGATCGTACAGACAACATCTGCCGCTTCTAACGCAAACACTTCCATTGGTGGAGCAGCTGGCTCATCTACCTTAAAGCAGCAGTCATCTTCTGGCTCTGCTGGTGTCAGCAAGCGCAGCCCGAGTTCTTCGCCTGTGGATCGCCGTTGCGTTAAGCGGCCCACGCTCTCTCGTTCGTCGTGCGATTCTCCACGCTCGACCGTCTGTGTAGTGGAGCAACTACGTGCGGATGGCGAGGAGTTGCGCGAACTAGTAGAAAAGGTTTCGTTGTTAGGTTGGGCGATCGGATCTATCGTGTCCTCGCCCTACTGCTTCGATCCGCCATCGACGTTGCTCGTTGCCGCGTGCCGGTCAGTGCTGAACGCGGTGGAAGCCACCGCACTCTGCTACTCGCGCATTAAGAGCTACTTGCGCACCGCACGGGAAGAGACGCCACCGAGCTCACCAACGGGCCAGAGGAGTTCTGTCGGCCACACCAGGTCAACGCACAGTCGACGTTTGTTGCTCCTAAAGAGCAGCGTTCATGCTACAGTTGCCCCGCTAGTTGATAGCATTATCGCCGAGCTGATGGCTCTGCGCCGCATGTGCTGCCATTCGATCCTCGTAATCTTGCGCCGTTCCTTGCTGCAACAAGCGAAAGCCGAACGCGCCATGCGCCAGCTGATGAACGAAGTGCCTACGCTAATCGAAACTCTTTTGCCAGTCGACCAGGTTGAACAGGACATGCTAGAAGAACAGCAGCAGAGCGGCTCAGTTGCGGTCGTGCTCAGTCCTACAGGCAGGACATCCCCCATGATGTCGTGGACTTCCACCAATAACAATATAGGAACTAGAACTCCTGGTCAGGAGTACGACAAATCGCCCAATTTTTCACCAGTTGACGATTACTTGGTGAGGGCCAGGCAGTCGCCTTTGATTTCCGACCAGGCGATCTGCGTGGTGGATCTGGTTGCGTACTTGACGAACTTCCAAAATTGGACTGAGAAAGCGAAGAAGGCCGCTTTCGTTGCTGCCACGATGGTGCTTGACGCGCATGAAGAAGATCGTGCTTATATTTCCGACGCAGAACAACAAGAGGAAAGAAACGAAGATAACACAAATGGTGCTCGAACAGGCTCAGAAATAACTAGAAGTTCCGCAATTGCTACTCCTAACAGTTGTAACAATCATGTTGTAGGCAGCACTTCATCATCTAGTCGTGCTGCGCCTGCAGAAGCTGCGTCATCCTCTTCGTCTTCGAGCGATTTTTTTGCGAACATGTCGCTGAACGAGTCTGGAGAGTGGCACGACCCCTACCACATGGACAGCACAAAACTGCAGATTAGTCGACTCCCGAGCGGATGGGGCCAGCGGCTTAACACCGGAGATTCCAAGTCAAGTGTTGAAAGTTCTGGCGGCAGCGACTTTTCATTTGCTCTCTGCGCCTCCAAAAAAGGTTCTAAAAGGACAGAGGACAATGTTGGCTGTATAGCGAAGGAGGGAGCTGCAGCAACGAAGACGAAGGCTGGCGTAGTTGAGCTTGTTCAACATGTTGAAGCTGCAGACCAACATCAAGAACATGTAGTTCAGGGTGCTGAAGATGGGCCACGCGCAACACTGGTTCAGATTCGTGCGTCGGTTAGCAGCAACGAAACGTCCTCTGACAATGAGGAAGGAGCATTGGCGGGCTCTTGTTTATGTGAGGAAACTGGAACAAGAAGTAGAACAACAAGAGCACGGAGTCCGTTTCAGAGGCGCGACGCCGCTCCTGTAGTTGCTGAGACGAGTGGGAACACTCATAATGAGGACACCCAGGAAGAAGTTGCGTCCCGTGGTCGTGATATATCTGCAGACCGAGTGTTTGACTTGATGAACAATACAGGCGAATGGAGTATAGCTACGCACCCATCTGTGCACCACAATCCATCATTCCAAACCTTGACTGGCACGGCTACGGGTCAACCAGGAGTGGCGGAACCGCTGGGGGCATCTTCTGCTAGTAGCTTGAATTACACGGCAACAGTGTGCAGCAGCGGCAGCGGCAGCGGCAACAGTGTGCCAGCAGAAGACCAGCATGGAGGCGGTGCGTCGACTCGACTGGATTTGGTGCAGACGCAGCGAAGCCAACCCGATTCTGAGGTAGGTCCACGAGCAAACGACCAGGAGCCGACCTTGTCTGGAAATAGCTCAACGCTCCTGAGCAGCGGTGGAGGTAACAATCAACAGGCGCCGCAGCAGCTAGTACAAGTTCAACGTGATCATGTGCTGGACCTGGCGGGAACCTTGAGCAGCGGCGCAGAGGAGACGGTGCACATTCTGGGAGCTTCTAACTTAGGAAATTCGTCTCGCAGTATCAACCTCGCGGGCGCACTTTCATCCTCTACATTCAATACCTCCACGAGCGTCCTGTCGCATAGCCGAGTCACAGCCGACCCTGACGATGAGGAGAACGATGTTCATGTTCGGAACTACAACATGACGATGACCACGCCAGAGGAGGACGAGAACCTTCTAGGGAGCAACATGAATATGGCGTCGACTGTGCAAGAACCGGAGATGGAGGAGGAAGCAAGGCCTGTATTTAGGTACGACCATATGCGAGATTATCCGCCGTTTCGCTTCGGTGTGGGCATGACAAGAGGTGCCTTAGCCCGCGTGCCAAACAACGCTAGTAGAGACGACGCCGACCTTGTCCGAGGCGGATACTCTTCATCACAGGCAGGTGGGGTTGATCTCGGCGCAGGACGACGCCGCGGCGGGCGCATGGAAGTGCGGCGCATGCACTCCACTGTGCTGGAAGTAGGCTACGCACGTGAGCGCGCTCAGTCACGCTCGGTGCCACCAGAGTCGCGCACTCGAGCCGGCGCGTATGACGAGGCCGTTGTCCAAGACCGTCCCACAGCTGCAGATCCAGGAGGAGAACAGGTAGAGGAGAGTGCCGCAGATATGTTTGCGTGGGACATGCAGCTTTTGCAGGAGATGAGTCCACAGGCGCAGCTAGAGCCCCTGCTGACTAATATGGGCGAAGAAGAAGACGCGGCTGCTCTTGCGCGGTCTGCCCGCAGGGCCAATAGAAGAAACAGATCTTCGAGAGAAGATCATAGAGCAGGAGGAGCACCTTCTTCGCGGATTGTCCGTCCTCCATCGCCGGCTGACGATGCATCTGCATCGCTTGTCTCGCGCGAATCAGCGTCAGTTACTGAAGAAGTATTCTACCATGGAGCAGCAGTCATTGACGAACTGGCAGAAACCGAAAGAGGGCCTCGCATGCTCACGGAGCTACCACCCACCATGCTGGGTGACGGCGTGGCGACGTGGAGTGAAGAGATCAATAGCCGAGGAGTTGAGATAAACCGCATTGCAGGTCGTGGCATCGTAGACGAAGTCGTGAGTCTAGGCTCTCACGCTTCCTCTACTGCCGATCAGCTGATCGCAACAGTGGGCGACGCACCTCCATCTTCAAACGCTGCCACTAATGTCATAACGGGAGTGGGCGCCGTGGTTGCAGTCGCTCCAACCTTAAACCCACCGATCATCAATTCTGAGCATGATCAGGATTATCAGCAAGATGAAGCAGTAGATGAACGTGGCGATGTTATTCTCATGTTGGATGACGACATTGAACAGCAAATCGTTGCTCCCCGTCCGACAGCTGTTTCCTTGGAAGGTGACGCATTCGATGAGGAGAGCATCGACGCCACGCTGGCTGCTTCGGCTCGTACTCTGGAGATGTCTGCACTCGAAATGCACACGATTGTAGAGGACGAAACGAGCCCACGACAGCAACCAAGTGCGACGAGAGGCGCGGGCAACGCGCAACATCAAGTTGGCACACTCTTGGGACGGGGGCGGCCCGCTCGAGGAGCAGGTGGATCCCCTGCTGTGCTGGATTCCGGCAACGACGTGCGACTTCTAGAGGATGTTGCACTTCAGTTTCCACCGTCGTTCCAAAATTTTAGTATTTCCAGTGCTCTGCACCGTCGCGGTGAGTTGCAGCAGGCCACGTTTCCCCTTCTGCAGCCTCCGGCCGGAGCGGGGCGACGCTATTTCAGCAGCCACAGCGCCTACATGTCCAGTTTGAACCCATTGAGCCCCAGAAATAATGGAGAGCAGACCTCGACAGGCACAGGTGCAACAGGTTTTGGTGTCGGCACGGGCATGGCGGCAACGTCAACACCATATGGTGCGGCACCCAGAACAGCTTCGGCAGGAGAGGACCGAATCTCTGGGATGGCGAGTCGTGCTTTTGAGCGGCGGGCCGGGTTGTGGACAGTGACGCCTGGCGAGCGAGCGGCTGTCGCAAGCGGAAATGGAGCGCTTCTCTTCCAAAACCCAGAACTTCCCTTGCCCTTTTCACCGTCCTCCGTCTTCTATAGTGGCGCACCGCCTTCGCGGCCATTTGGCGCCGGGCCTCTCGCTGGGAGCATCCTCGCAGGCGGTAATTACGCGAGCCTCTCCTTTCAGGGAGGTGCTGCGCCCTCGGCTTTCCAACCTGGAGGAGCATCGGGAGGAGTATTAGGCTTGCCCAGTTGGTCCGCGCTCAGCGCTATGCCAGGCTGGTCTTCTCGCCGGAGCCGGCGAAGCCGACAGCTGAATGAAATCGACCATACGAGTCACGCAACGACGAGCCAGGAGTACACGAGAAAAATGCAGTGTGGGCATTTCCGCGAAATCTTTCCGCAGAAGCGCAGCATCGCGCAGTTTCACGCGAAACAGATTGTGGACAGGTAAAACCCAAGATCTCTACAGTTTGTGCTGGATCATGTAAGTAAGCAAAAATAGGAATTTGTATTTGATGAGATTATACAACATATTTATATATAGTTACAGTAGTTTATCACCATCATGCTCCTTCATCCGAGAAGTGATGCTACCACCATCCGAGAAAAAAGTAAAGAACTACAGAGTAGTCCAAAAACAAAAATCAACATCTAGATAAGTACCTAGATATCACAACTCGTCTACATAAATATGCATTTTTCATCAACGACAACAACATGAAAATCAGACTCGCGTACGTCGGCCACCGCGCGGCCGTGCAGAGGTGTCGCGCATTGAAGAAGCGACGGGAATGGCTCGAGAATCTGAAGCCTGGCACGCACGTGGACGCGATGGACACCGAGCAGTGTTGCTGGTACGAGAGTTACATTGTGGCTTTGCACGAGGAGGGAGAGCACCGCGCAGGCGTGAAGACGAAGTGCACAGTTCATTTCCTAGGTTGGAATACGACGTGGCGGCGCCAGATCGACTTGCGAACTAGCGACAGTTTGAGGCTGCAGCCTCGCAACTATGTAGTACCGGAGTGGCGGAAAAAGCTGAAGCGATTCGACTCCTTGGATGTGAAAATCCCCTTGTGCCAAATCGTCGGGAAAAAGGCGCTGCCAGACGCGGAAGTGCTCGCATCTTCTGCAGTAGCATCTGTGGTGTTTGGAGGAACGGCAAACTCTACTGCCTCATCTCCTGGTGGATCCGCATCCGCTGCAACATCTATTAAGGGTACACCTTTAACGTGCTTTTCTTACCGCTTTTTATGCCTCTCTCCCTTAGGAAAAGAAAGGCATAAAAAGCGGGGTAAGCGAGCAGCAAAAACCTACCTCTAAATCTAGTGGTGCTGGATTTTCCGCAGGAGCGTTGCCTACTTCGCCGCTGCATTTTGGGAACAACTACATGTCATACACCGGTTTTACTGGAGGCTCTTCAGCTTCAAGTAGCGGATTCCAAGGATCAGCCTCGGCATCCCCAGATTCAACTAGCGTCGCGAGATCTTCCTCTACTGGAGCTGGAGCACCGGGTCCGGCGGTTCCGGTTCCGCCAGGCGCAGTTGGGTTCCCTTTTGGGCATAACGGGCCACCCAGCACTAACCACGCAGCTATTGCAACTTCTACTGGAGCTGGAGCACCGGGTTTGCCTCAGGCGCCAGGGCCGCGTGCTTTCTCGCAAGCGACCTACGGTGGGCAAAATGTGAACGGATCAATGCCAAATGGAAATGCGGCCAACAAGATTTCGTGGGCACGCAAACAGTCTGAGTACTTGATGATTCAAATCTTTGATTTGGTTCTACGAGTGAAGAAATAGTTTGAGCTCACTCTTTCTCTACCCTGTAGTACTATGATCAAAAGATCTGTTAGTCGTGACGAGTTCGATGCAAATACATCAATCATGATCATCCACGATTGACAATTTTTATCCTCATCTTTTTCAAAAGATGACACATGAAGTCCTCCTGTAACTACACTTCTTGTTCTAATTATTCGTACATCTACTTTCAGGCCTTCCGTCGTAGTTTCCGAGAACAATGATCGAGGGAAGGGTCTGCTTTTGGCACACGGAATTACCGTTGTGGACCCTGGTCGCTCTTCTAGCTATGCGGGGTCGGCGAGCGGGTCCTCTTCCAGCAGTCGGGAAGAAGCTAGTGGTGGTGGTGGTGGACTGAAGATGTTCAGCGGCACAACTTCTATTCCACCAGGTGCAGCAGCAGGCTCCTCTTCCGCGAGAACCACGGCCAGTAGCAACAGCAGTAATTCGTCCGCGGCATCGACAAATCATGGGAGGCGCAGCTCAGGAGCGTCTAGCTCGGGCAAGAAGTCCTCTGGTGGTACTAGTTCTTCAGGAAGGAATGCGGGGCCCTTGGACTACCCAGTGATCTGCCTCGAACGGGGCATCGAGGTCTGCACGACGGAAGAGGAGAACCGAGTAGAGCTGCGACCTCGATGGAAAGTAGCGCAGATTGTAGAACTCAGAGGAGGTCTTGCGCGCGTCCAGGTAGTGGCGAATCCTTTGTCCGCGGATCACGGTGTATCAAGGCTGGCGCCGGAGCAGCTACCCGGGTCGACTTTCGGCGCGGTGCTGGATGGCGGGTACAGCCTCAGTTTTTGGGTAGACCTCTACGGCAATTGCGTGCAGCCATTCGGGACCCACACCGTGAAACCATCTACTCGCAGACCTGTATGGAGTTTTCTGCATCCCCCGAACCCTCCACACATCACATGCGGAAATCCTCCACACATGACTGGGGAGTCTTCTGCTTCCCCAATCGATGATAATTTTAGCTCACCCAGGAGTAGAAACGTGTGCACGTGGGAAGGTACGTGGAACGCAGAACAGCAGGACGGAGATGCAGACGACGAGTCACGACTTGACTTCATCGATAGATCACAGTTATTTGCGGGATTCTAGAATAAGGTCCTTTATCCAGCATCAGTCTTATGATGATGCGATATATGAATCTAGGCTGACGCGACCAGGCTCAGCTTGAAGTAGGCTTTTGGTAATAAACATGATTCACTGGAAGATTAACTGTAATTCGTGATGAAATTTGAAATGAAAATTGACAAGAGTAGAATTTGAGAATATGACTAAGCAGGCTGATTATGGCTTTTTCGATAATGCAAAGCATTCCATGATCGGTATCATGGATGAGGATATTTTTTTGGGGACATTGAAGACAGTTATTGCACAGACCATTGGAGGAATTCGCTGAAAGGAAACCTTGCTTTCGGTGCATCTTAGGATGAACACTTACTTGTAACTACTGCATGTTCGAATGAATACTTACTTGTACCTACTACTTGCGTCAATGATGTTTATGTTATTCGAATGATACGCCAATTGAAAAATGAATACCTACTACTTGGAGCTACTACTTGCATACTCAAAGAAGTCGAACCTTATGATGGTGATACAGGGATTGATTATACCACAAATTTGTTTTAAGTGAGTCGTTTTCATCATGCCATGTAATCAATGCTGATTTTTTCTTCTGGAAACAAATGAACCACAATCCAATGAATCAGTGAACAACAACAACAACAATGATATCTCATGCTAGAAGATTTCGGAATTTGTCGCAAAAGAATACATAGGACTACTGCAACCAGTGCTTAGAAATGGACCCCAATTATAAGGTGAAGAGCTCAACATTTTAACGCGGTGCAAAAACGATGAGAAAAGAAAAATGTTGATGGAGCAAGCAAAAGAACGAACAGATTATCAAAAAGAACGCGGATGCATATCGTAGAAACATTCATCTGCTGAAGATGTAGCTAGAGAAGATGAAACGACGAGTCAAAAGCCTTTCCCCTTGCGAAGGCCGTAGTGACACTTGTTGTTGTTTGCAGTGAGTCTGCTTGTGTATGTGTTCTTCAAGAACCAACATCTGGCCCTCGTCTTGGTGCGAAGTCGAGAGGAACAGAGCCTCAGGTCGATGTATGTGATTTAATGGCCTTCTACGGACCGACGGCACGTCTGCAGTATGGCGGAAGAATTGACCGAGTCACTATGTCATGCTGTTTGTCATGGAAGTAGATACGTTCTTTCAGTTTCACATCTACTTTTGCCACAGCGACTGCCAACAAGTGCTGGGCGCGGACGAGGACATTTATGACGTGGCTTTGGATCATAGAGAAAAGTGTTGGCATGTTCACGAGATAGAACATGTAAGAATACCGATCCATCCAGGAACTTTTGTCTTTGAAACACAGCTACCTGTGTGTTAGAGCAGATGCAGAATCACAATCACAACCACAATTAGTCTAAGTAGTCCAAGTTGAATTGATGATTATTTGATTACTTATTTGTAGCATTGCTTTTGCTTTTACTAGGACTAGCTCATTTATTATCGCTTTTACTGTTTCTTTTGATTTTTGTTGTAGAGTGGTCTTCATTCCATTCTAAGCGAGTTGGAGTTTTTCGTCTCCGGAGATGTATTGTCTTTGCGGGTACTACTAGGATCTTTTTCCTTCCCTCTGTATACACACGGAATCGTGCATTTTTGTACATCAAAGAAAAAAGAAGGTCAGGCCTTCAAAGTCTTTTGATACTAGAAGGTCTTGAACTTGTCATTCTACTCATTGTTACTTATAATTGTTACTACAACTTCTCTTCGTGCTCACTAACTAGCGTATCAATATCCTCGTATGATAAAGACTTAAAAGTTACAACAGGAGTTGAACATCACCAGGAAGATGAAGACACTTGAGCTTCTGTCTCTCGGGTATGCCGATCTTGACGCATTTACGGGTTTAAGCGAGTCTCTAGCACCGACGGCCTTCGTGACGGAGGCAGCTCGTTACTGGCGAAGGGTCGTTCGCGGCCTAGGGCTTATTTCAAGACTTTCGCCCTCGCGACACAGCAGTACAAGTCTTGACCCAACAAGGAGCAGTTCTAGGTCTGCGCAATGTGTAGCAACTTCTGCGGCACAGCATCCATTCACGTCCTCGGGAACGACGTCGGGTGCGTCGCCAGGAACATTACGTTCGATAGAACCATCGCAATGTGTGGCTCCTTCTGTGAAGAATGTACAAAAAAATGACGGAGCCGAGCTGACAAAGACAAATTCCTGTACTACCGAAATTTCCGCAAATAACTGTAGCTCGCCCTCATGGAGCAATTTGGCAGACGTGTCGCCTCTAGCTGCTACTTGCACAAGGCCCAGTCTAGCTGGGGCTGGCCAACAAGACCGAGCAGCTTCTGAGGTTCTTTCGCCTAGTACAACGGCCATAAATTCTTATCCCGGAAAAGAACGTGAACGTGGTCTGCTTCCTTCCACCGGCGCTATACCTGCTGCACCGGAACGAATATTGGGGCCCCAGTACTCATCCAGTTTTGTCGTAGATGATGGCAAAGACGACGGTTGTCCCAGTGATGCACCAGCCGCCAGCACATCTAATTGGCGATGGTTTAAGTGCCCTTCTCGGATAAGCAGTGGAACATATCTACTGAGTGGTAGTGTAGTCGTAGAGCGGGGAAGAGGACGGGAGAACTCGAAATCTTCAAAAAGTAGGACAAGGAAGGTCACTAGTTTCGGACAGGAGAGTAGCAGCAGTAGGCCACACCGGAGTAGGACAGGCGAGCGGGGCTCGCTAAATACGTTGCACCAGCACCAAAATCGGGATGGAATGGTCAAATCCACAAGCTGCCCCACGGGGCTCTCTCACATGTTCAGATCCTCTACCAGTAGCAGCATAAACTGTGGCTCACCATCAACCACGACATGCGCCGTACCATCCAGTAGCTCCAGCCCCTCAACCCTTACAAACAGAGGATCCCCGACTTCAGGAGGGTCACCGACTTTGCTAGGGGGTGGATCGTCAAGGAATAGCAGGGGAGGGATGATGCCACGAGCCGCCTCGTGGGGATCAAGACTGGCTGCTAAAATCGCGCAAGGGAAAACGACGCGAATATTGGAATCCATGGACCCAACAAAGTTACCACACATCATCCGCCCTGGCGCAAGCGAGGCCAAACAAAGAGTTTATGCTTTTGGTTTGGAGTTGTATATTCACTTTCGATTTCGGTGGTTTTTGATTCTAATATATAAATTCGATCAGAGAGTGTGAGTGAGAGTATTCTTTAGAGCTCTGAAAAGAGGACTTCTTAAGAGAATTTTCCTGCATTATGTTGGTCTTTATTAGTTACTACATCATCAATTACAGCGGGCTCAAAATGAATGTGTGTTCGTGTCTCACCAGTGAATCCCTTGCTCTTCATAGCCGCCATTTCCAGGAATTCGCGCTCGATGATTGGACCTTCCAAGACCGCTTTGCGGAGATCTTGAGGCGTTATCAATCGCTGTGGCACGACGGAAAGACAGTGTTTCATGGGGCTGATGCAGAGTGGGCTCTAGCCGAAGAACCACCATCCACCGCATCACTAGTCGCTTCTATCCGTTCAGTAAATTTGAAAGTGGAGCATCATTTACAACCACCTTCAGAAGAAGGAGAGCAAAGTAAAGAACGTAGAACGTCCTGTACATCCACCTCCGGGGAAAAAAAGGGAGAAAACGAACACGAACAGCATCGGGATGACGCCAAAAGAAGACGAGCTGTGCCTTCAGATGTAGAAGAGCAGAAGTGGAGAGCAGTTCGCCGGATAATGAAATTTTGGAACAAGGTTGACGCAGATTTTCGGACTCTTGTTGCATCTTCACTCGAGCAAGAGCGGGAGGAATTAGCGCGCGATAGATCGACAAGCGAGGATGCCACGTCGTCCGACGAACAAAGAGAGGACGATGATAGTGCTAGTGAGAATTTTTTTGCAGCAGGACTGGTACTGCAGGGTCCACCTCAAGGAACACCACGGTCATCAAGAAGGTCACGAACGCAATCGCGAGAAGATACGACCACTAGTAATGTACTAAATGGTCAGGACCGCGCTCCTGTGGCCGTGGAAACTAATGTGAAGACGCGCGTTCATAGCAGAACCGAGAGCAAGAGTACGCCTAGCACAGGTGAAGAGGGCATTAAAGTCGAGGAGAACGATATGCTAACGGAGAGGATCAAACTCAATGATGACCACAAGGACGCAAAACCAGCAAAAGTAGGAATGGACCACTTACAAAGAAGGCATCTTACTACAGAAGATGTAATAGCTGCCCTATCGGAGACCAACGTCGACGAGCAAGAGACCGCACCACTACGTCGGAGGCATAATACTAGAAGTATTGCACACGTCGAAGATACCATTGCTAACAAGACTGCTCCCGCTCCACAGAACAGCAAACCGCGCAATGCTACAGAAACCAGTGCAGCGGAAACAAAAAATCGGGATCGCGCATTTGAAGAGAAGGTATTAGCTTTTTTGAATCAGCGCTATCAAGGGGAGATGCAGCTCTGGAGTGCACTGTACGGTGCGCAGCACGTGGGCCTAGTCGAGAGGGAGCGCGGGAACACGGAACTTGGTAGTAGCAAGGGTAGAACTGATACAACAACAGATTTCGAGAAACATGGATGGACGTATTTTCTGACGGAGTACGGAGATTACGAAGCGGCGCGCGCGTTTTTTCCTGCTTGGTTTCCAAAATGGAGTAAAAAGTTTGGCAAGCTCGCGGTGAAGCACACCGGCGTGATGAAGTGCGTCTTGAAAAAGAAGGAGTTCACAACACTCGCAGCCTCCTCATCAGGCGGGATCTCGTCGAGGTTGGGACGCTCCTCAGGTAGTAATGCGAAAGTAGTCACGACCGAAAAAATCTCTCCCACTACAAGAACTTCTCGTGCTCCGAGAACAGCTGGAGCCGGAGGGACGGGTAGTTCTTGTCGTGGCGCAAAGAAAGGGGCGCTTTCAACGTGCCGACGTCGCGCTGGCAATGGTGCAAAAGAAGACCCAGGCTTATTGCAGTCTCTGGTTGCTAAGTTTTCTAGTTTATCACTGGCTGGATTAGGTAGTAAGCCATCCTCTACAGATTCATCAGCATCTGCTTCTACCGGTCAAATAGAGAACGGAGATGCGCCCGCAGCGCTGCTCGTGAGTGGCACCAACATGCTTGCAGGTGTGGATGACCACTCAGGGGCCCAAACAATTTCAACAAGCGGTTTTTTAGATGGTCCTGGCGAAGCTGCGCACTCCTCTTCGGTTTTGTCTGGCGATGAGGCTGGACCAGCGTTGCCTGGTCTTGCGAGAAGTCGCGCGCCTTTGGGAGGCTTCTCCTGTGGTAACGCAACTACCTCCATGTCGAAACTTTCTTCCACTAATGCTATGTTGGGCAGCGGGTGTAGCTCTTTAGGAGGCGGTGATGGAGGGCTTGGGCGAACAGCGAGTACAACAAGCATGCTTTCTAGTCTCGGGAGTTGCGATTCACTCGCCAGTTTAGTGCCAGAAGACGACTTTGGCTTCGGGGAAGAGGAGCCGTCCGCACCTCCGCCGCAATTGATACACTTTTCTTCAAATGGTAATGCGTCGGCGTCGGTAATAGTGGAACAGCGATGGCCGCAGAAGTCTTTCGATACCAGAACACTGTCACCTGCTCAAGGTGCAGTACACCAAGGCTACCGTAGGAGTAGCGATACTCATCAGGTTGCGTCTACTTCCCCGATGAGAGAGTTTCAAACGGATGGAAATTTTCGAAACATGGATGAGCATGCAGAGCGAGATCATCGTCGAGCCGAGGACACTGGAGACGAGTCGGCTACAACAAGAGGCATTGTAGCAGATTCGAGTCACACGGATACTGGAGAAGCAAGGACAGAGAAGCGGCTGCTGCAGCACGAGACCCTGCCCAGCGAAGCTTCGGCGCTTCCTCAGCTCACGTATAGCATGAATCTGATCTACATATTGTGATGGATATATCTCGTTTTTCATTAGCCTTTAAGTTGGTTCCTTGCATGCGCCCTACAGATTCGTGAAATATTTTTTCGTGATCGGTCATACATGTCTTCCGTTAAGAACCTTCGCACCTGATTGGCCTTCAAAACAAAATAAGCAAGGATCAAGTGCTCTTTCATCCTTCGACCCTCATAGGTATGGCGACTGCATGGAAGTGTATCACGGTGTCGTGCGAACAATCGAGGATGCAAACGACTTGAGGGGTAGCTACGAGAATCCCGGACACATCACTGTGAATCCTTTCGGCATTCTCGCCTGCGAAGGTTGGCACCTCTATCGTGTTATCAAGGTTCTGGAAGGAAGCTTCGTTCGCAGCGGCGCAGAAAACTCAGTGTACCGGCGTGGTAGCGACGAAAACGCAGTTTATTATAGTGGTTCTGGCGATCGCGATTCTGCTAGAAGAGACCACAAATTTCAACAAGGGCGGATAAGGAGGGTAGACGGTCGTGCTGACGGTTCTGAGAAGGGAATCGGAATTGACCTGAGCCGGAGGTTAACCTTCGACGATATTCAAGACGATGAAAATCAGAGTCATCTGCTACCCGCTGAGCTTGTGCGGAACGATGTAGATGGCTATGGTCGGTCGTCGAGAGGACCTAGTCGTTCTAATAGTAAGGTGAGAGTAGGGCAAGAGCTCGCACAGGTACCTGAAGTCGATGTACTACCCGCTTCGTCACCCTCCGGGAGCGAGCGCAATGCAAGCTCGCACTGTAGTGGACCAATTCTAAGGGACCGATTAGAGGCGATTGGGGGAGAAAGACCAGCAAATACCGTTGCCGACCCAGTCCCAGAACAACACACGGTAAGAGCTGCGCATGTGCTGTGCTCGCCGCGAAAGAATCCGTACATGCGCCCATCCCCTCTACTTCTTCGTTCTACACGCAGGCATTCGCAGAGCGCACCGGAGTTGCCGACCTATAGTTCGGATTTTTTAGATGGAGATACCACGCTGCGATTGGATGGGAGCGCGCCACCAAGTCCATCGGCGCTGCTGCCTCCAATCGAAGAAACTAGTCAGGAGAACCTTCAGCTCTCGCATCAATTGTGTGGCCAACGAGGAATTACAGGCGCAGCAAGCAGCGGGGCGCTCGTATTAACCGGCCTCGCTGATGGATCATTATCACCGAGCGGCAGTGGCCTCCATCTCACGAGCCCTATTCAACATCAAGCAAGTCCACCTACGTCCGGCTCTGGGGATGATGTAATTGAAGTCCGTTCTTCTCCATTAGCGGCCTTTGGGAACACTGCTGGATCAAGTCCAAGTGGAGGAAGTGCTGTTGCTGCATGGGACATGAGTGGTGTTAGTAGTACCAATCCTCCTATACCTACTGCAATTGGAATCACAATCACTACTGCTGCAGACGTTGATGGAAAAGCGAGTCCACGCAGAGCGTTTGAGCACAGTTCTGGTAGCGGCGGCTCCTCTGGCTCTTCATCTCTTATGGTCACGTCTGACATGATGTCTCCGCATGCGTCGACGAAGCTGAATCTTATTAAAAAGGCTTAATAGAGATCATTTCTACCATGCTTTTCTTGCAGTTGCAGTTTCCTTCTTAGGATTCCGAAGAAATGAAGGGAATTCGATGAAATGTTTTGGGCTCTAATCTTACAATGACCACGACAGGCGGAAACGGAATCAGCAGACAAGTAGATGCTGCTGGTGCAGCGTCATCCCCTTCATGTTGTACATCGAGCGATCACTGTTCACGACCTGACGACGGAAGTAAGGCCACCAGCACAGGAGGTCTAGGGAGTACCAATCGCACACTAGTAGAAGCAGAAAGGACTCGCCCAATTCGCGCTAACTCAGAACCAATGCTGGAAGTATGTCGTACTCATGAAGTAGCACCAAAGCATGAGCATCCGTGCTCACTGGTTCGCCAAACATCGTCGTCAATGAAAGCGAATCGGGGTGGGCCAGTCGCGATGGCCTCGCGCAGCGATTTTTTTGAGCGTTCTGACTTTCTTGGTAGTCACTTGGACGAAAATGATATCGTCGAGTGCCACGGGTGCACTAGGACAACACCAAGTGTTGCAACGACTTCCAATAGTGCTGCGGTCTATCTAGAATTAAGGCTTACCCTAAGTAATCCATCTCCTGAAGCATCTTCGACCTGTCCCATAAGGGGAAAATAGGTCTAAGTCTAAGATGAATCTTGCGATGGATTAGGGTGAGCTCTAATAGAGGCGGACCGTGGGGTCGATCCAGAAATTATGTGGAGACCTATATGGATGCCGTTCAACGACAAAATGGCCTACAACGTTTTGCAGCACAATTGCAACCACTTTTCCGAATCGATGCTGGTAACTCTACTCCTCCTAGAGAGTATCTCTCGTCTTGACCGCGCCTCTGCGGTTACTACTGCTCGTGGTCCTGAGGCTAGCGAAGATGCTAATGTAAAAATGACAGAAGTGTTGACAGAGACACCAGAACGAACGAGCGACGTTGAGAACTTCCTAGACGTCGAGGAGCAGGAGGTCCGAAACTTGCTGTACCGAACGTTGTTGGTTCAGATGATATTCAGCAATTTTTCGCCTGATCAAGTGACGTTTCGACTGGCTCGGCATTTACGAGGTGCATTGCCGTTTTTAGATTCCAAGGTCAGTCCAGTAGTTCCGGAAATGGCACTGCGCAACCCGCGTAATTGTGGTCTATACTTCGTTCGCACTCTTTTGAAAGACCTGTTTCGCCGTTTACGAAATAGTGTACGCTCATTTCAACACAGGGTCGTGGAAGAGGAGCAAATAAGGAGGAACAACGCTAGTAGTTCTTCATCTACTCGACATTTTGGTGATAGTAACGAATACGAAACTTCTTCTTGTGGTCCAGCACTTTCTCGTGGGGACTGCGAAAATACTTCAACTTCTAGCGGTTTGTCATCGAACATGGATGAAGGCCTACGCAGACGACGTCAAGATCAAGCAGTAGCTGTACGTGAGCAAAACGAGGTTGCAGAAGAAGCACAACGACCACCTTGTGGACCAAGAACTGCGTCTAGTACAGGTTGGGTAGGAGGTAAACCCATAACCACTTTTCCTGTAACTACAAGCTTCTATCTAGAAAAAGCAAGTACTAGTACTTGTTCTGCGTCTCCCGTAAAGGTTAAGGGAAGGTTTTGGATGTTTCTGTTACCGTTTGTTTTGACTCTCCTAAGGGAGAAGAGCAGAAGAAACGGGAAACAGAAACACCAGCGACCTACCTCTAAAAAGGGACAACAACCGAGCAGTATGCTAAAGAGTGGTGATGTTCATCAGCAGGATCTCTTGGACCTGGTAAACGAAGTTGCAGAGAAACTCTTGGGAAGTGTTGCGAGTTTTATCTAAAGAACTAGCGAATGAGGAAGAAGATGATCCATGCATCAGGGCAGTCGTGTTCGAAGATAAGAGGGTCTACTTACGTGTATCTCCATTTGCAGAGGTGAATTGAGAATTTTTAAAGCTGCATTAGCTCTTGCACAGGCATAGATTTGTGGGGGACTAGCTGCAGATCATTCTAGTACACTTGATTTGTTAGTTTGAAATTGAATGAAAACACGCGTATTATTTGCAAGCAATTGTTGTGTTATTGTTTCGAGCGAGGCAGTCGCTTTCGCTGCTTATATTAGTAGATGCAGAAGCTTTAAGAACGAGTACTATTTTGGGTAAGATCACAAAGACTAAGACGATTCCACATGATGTTGATAATATTCAACCTAGCATATTACATCTCTCGTTTGTTCGGGAGACTCGGAGAGAGCGTGGTGGGTTAGAGAAGGAGAACAAGAAGAGTGTTGCGTGCATCACAAGTACATAGATTTTTGCGAAACGCATTATTTCAGTTACTGGGTCTCCTTCAACATGGACCTTGCACGGTCTGGCAAGGAGAAGAACGAACACGAAGGACAGACGCAAGCAGCGCGCGCGAGCTTTCGTAAAAGTTATGACTGACTTGTACTGCTTGTAGTGTCTACCGTGTTTATACGTCGTTTGTGTACTGTCTGATAGTGCATTCATTTTAGTGAAGATTTTTTTGTTCATCCAACCCAAAAAAAAAAAGCAAGAGGAATGTTAGACGACGAGACAACGGATTATGATGTGACTGTTATCGAGTCTATCATCATTTTCCATTTCTCGATAGCTGCTGCCTGTTGGAGAACGTGTATGACTACTCGAGACGCATACCATATTATGATGTTTGTAGAAGAAGTTTCTGTGTCCTGGATATTGCTTAGTCTCCTACGATACATCATATGTGTAAGACTATGCGAGACTCATGCCATGCCATATTGGATGAACAAGATGCTGTGTGCGTCTCTTTTACGTCTAAATCATCTGTGACCATAGATATGTTTCTCTTGATGTGCGTAGTCGGGCGTCATTGTATCAGTCTGAAATCTGGATCTCCTGGTTTGTCATCGTACTCTCTTTGGGAATAAAGTTGGTGGAGAACAATGAATTGCGGTGTTGCGATCGTTGTTGTATACTGCATACGTGGGTCGTTGTATACTGCATTACACATGATCTTGACCAGAACCTCCAGTTTCATCATCTAAGTTGTAGTTTCTTGTAGTTTCTACCTACCTTTGACTTTGGGCAGCAATGCCGACCACTCCCACGCGAGGAAAAGGCGACTTTTCTCTCACTTGAAATCGCAACGTAAATTGGAATAGGAGCTCTTCACTCGGGTAGCACGCGGCTAAAAGGCTCTGATGGAAGTCGAGCATGGTGTTGTAGTAAAGAAGCTATTTCTATTCTATTTCTACTTCAAACTTGTTCCCAAAGAATCTTCCAGCTTGTTGAACAACGTGTCCTAGTTATTGGTCATGTGGATAGTATCAGTATGTGCTTGATGTGAATGTGATGACAGGAAAATTCAAATTGATCATGGCGATAGAATTGTGGCAGACACCTGCTGCGAGCTGCCAGCTCGTCCGTGCTGAAACGCAACGATTTATTGTGGTATGACCTAAGTATATGTTTTTGACTCATGCTCAAGCGCATCGTACATGTTGATGTTGAACCCACATATTTTCATGTCAAAATCTGTATTTTCTCATACTGGTTTTTCTATTACTGCGCGCTTGCCGCACGACATGGCGCTCCGTGTGTCTTGTGTCCTCTTTCGAAGTCGGACAGCATGCACGTTGGATGATGGGGACAACCTTTTTTTGGCTTGTCATCGTAGCAGTTTATTTCATTTTGACCTTCTTGATGTTAGTTTTGCAGTGAGTTAGACGAGTACTTACACAGACTTAATACATAGGTACGACATCATGACGAGAGACGAAGGCTCTTTTACGGAGCAGAAGCTAGCGCTCCCCTTTCTTTATCCGGTCACATAAGCACGAGTCTTAAGCACCTGTCGGCATTAGGAACATTATGCGAGAGAAAATAAAGATGCGACGCTTACTCTTTGCCTCGTTTCCGGCATGTGCGTTCGCTGAGCTCGCGAACAGCCACCGCGCACAAGAAGTGGACTCGTCTGGTGAGGCAATAGATGCGAGCAAAGATATTCCGGCCGTGGATTTGGGTGAAGAGCAGAGCCGGGGGGGGGGGCGAACCGCGCGGCCATATCGGCGAAGTTCGCCGCCACGCGACCGACAGGCGGAGGCGGAAGATGTTCGACAACCCTTTTTTAGAACCAATTAGCTGGTCTTCGGAGAGTGATGATGTAGAAGCAGACTCTCAAGGAAGAAGTGGTTGGCGTCAGCTCCACGCTGCTGGCGGCGTGGACGACTTGCTAGTGTACGGCAATGCAAGCATGCGCACCAACTCGACCCTCACGAGTTGGGATATGGACAACTCGTTTCTGGAGAATTCGAAGATGGTAAGCTTGAAGGAGAAAGCGAACAAACAGGAGGCCGAATCGCCGGCGATGAGTGAAGTCAAAGACAATCATTCCGCCGGAAGTGAGGCAAGCAGTGGGGGCTTCGAGGCTCAAGGCATCAGCAGCTCGTCAGCCCTCACCATGGACATTGTCGAAATAGTGACGCCCATTCTGCAACATCTCGGCAGGAAAAGCCGAAAGGCCCATTTTTTCGAGATTTTGGGCGCCAGCATGCTGGTGCCAGTGCCAGACCAGGACGGGAGCGGGGCTACCCCTTCTCCCATCACTCTACAGGTCCTCGCTCAGGCATTGGGTGAACAAAAAGTTGAGAGACTGGTTACATATGTCAAACTTACTAAATTATACATTCAGACGCTGGCAAAAGAGAGCTTGGCGGGAGAAGACTCTGATACTGACACTTCGGAGAACGCGCCGAATTTTATTATCCGAAACGCGTTCAGTGGCAGCGAAGTGGAAGTGAGTACGAATGTGGTTTCGCCGTTCAGCACGATTGAAGACCTGAAGTTTTTTTCACTCGTGCGCTCCGGTGTTGCTGTGGCTTTTATCTCCGGCGCGACGGGTGAACTACTGGCGGACGCCGATCGTCTGACGCCTCACATGACCACAGGCGCTATTGTGAGCATAAATGTGCCAAAAGATTTGACGAGTCTGGTTTCCGCGGCGCATATGTTTTTCACTGTGATGACCAGCGACAATTTTCACTTTGGGACTCCGACCACCCTGACCAAGTCGATATGGAAAGACGCGAACTTGCTACGAATAGGTAGCAGCATAATCGCCTGTTTCCGGAGGGCAGCGCAAGCGGAGAGTACATTGTCACTGCTAAGACCATAAATGAGAAAGATCTTGAAAATTCACTCTGTGCCTCTTGTATCTCATCAATAGTACATGTGCGATTACTTATGAGTATTAGACTCATGCCATGCCGTGCCCGTGTCTGACACTGAAACTGAAACAGGTACCACTATCGCTGGAGATTGTGGCAGATTGGTTCTTGCAGATGGCATGACAATCACAGGGACGATGGTGAGCTGGGTGATGCGAGATAGACTGACACCCTTATGGGAAAGCATTTGGGGCAGTCCCGTGGGGCCGCAATGTCGCTGCACGAATAGCCTTGAGGTCAGCGTTCGGCAGGAAAGGGACGCCATCCAGAATGCAGCCACGCAGTTTTTCGACACGCGGCAGTCGAGCTCGGGCTTGAGGAGCAAGTTCTTCCTGTGGGGGTTCGAACTTGCAGATTCCAGCAAAGGAAATTGCGTGCTTATAGCTCGCCTTGACATTGACGGGAGTTCCAATGTGGTGAGGTGGCATTTTTTCGATTTGCGCGATTTTCGAAAATCGAAGAAGTAGTAAACTTGAAGGTGATGTTGATGAAGATCCAGATGAATAGACCGTTCCGGAAGCCAATGCTTCCAGCGCGTCTTCAGCAACTGACACTTGCACACGTCGACGATTAGAGCCTCGCAGGAAATAGTACAACGACTCTGGGGCGAGCCCCGCAGCAGAGGATCGATTGGATATCAGAGGCAGGGGCTTTGCTGGTAACTGAAAAGAATGGGCCATACTTTTGTCATGAATGAAATTAAAATGTGGGATGAGGTCACCTATCACAACGAAAAAACCACATGATGGATTTTTGGACTTGTTGACGTGAAGAATTTCGTACGGAACGGAATACACCGATTACAACAGGAAAGCTATGATTTGAAGACTTGTGTTCTCGGCCAGTCGTGTCCGCGCTACTTGGTGTAGCTGGCTAATACAGAGACTCGCTAAGCAAAGATGGATCATCACTGCGAGTTGTCAAGACCGTTTCTAACGGAAGTGCCAGAGGATCACGTGCATTGTAGTTTTGTCCGAGGTCGTATGCTACAAGTTGAAGTTCGCTTTTCTCTGTCCCCTTTGGTCACGCAGTTACTTTCATGTGTTGTTAACCGAAGAAAGATAGATTTAGTTCTGACATGGAGCACGAGCTAGATGCAAGAACAGCACGTGTCTTACCGTCCACATTTCCAAGGAAATTATTATTAAGGGTAGGTTAAAGGTGCTTTTGTTACCGTTTGTTATGGCTCTTCTAAGGGGAACAGCCATAACAAGCGGGATCAACGGACACCAACAGCCTACCTCTAATATTACGTAAAACACGACACATCTCACGTCGCACACACACCAACGATCATCTCCGTCTGCGAATAGACACCTGTAGGTTGAAAAGAGTCCCTTTCTAGTATATTAAGCAAACTAATGTTTTACTAGTGCTCTTGGAAAAGTTCACGGCTCACATAGGACTAAGTGGCCTAGTCGAAGACGTTTATTATATCCCACGAAAGTGTTGAGAGTTTTTTTTGAAAGTAAGTAGAGAAAACAGAAGACAATTTTTTATTACATTCTAATGAAGATAGAAGGAAAAAAACACTAAGACTTCGTGTAATAAAATAAAGTTAAAGAGAATCGGATTCAATGAACCCATTTTTAGTTCTTTTTATCATTTATTGCATCTATTTTTGAACGACCAATGTGTCATCTGTCTGGTAAAATTGTTGTAATTACCTTAAGATTTTTATTCATAAGAGTATTTTGACGAATACAATTAAGCAAGGACAAGGACGGTCTTTACTTATTTTTGTTCGAAGGCAAGCCAATGACGCTTATCAGCTTCGCCACCTTATCGTAGACTCCATACTTTGAACAATTGAATGCATTCTCAATATCATGTTCTTCAGCGCTGATTGTGGCTTCAGGTCTTTCTTCATGAAGCAGCTGCCGCTCGCTAGCTAGTCGAATGGGAACGGTTGCAACGTCGGCCGCGATCATGTAAAAACGAGACTGAAACGAACCCAAGCAAAAATCGTTCAGCAAGAAGAAAACCGACTTCAACAAGGAGAGCAACTAAATAGAGTAGATAGACGGGCTGCCGTTCTTCTTTGCGAAGATGCGGTCGGCTGTGTCTATTCCGCTACGCGCAGGCAAGAGGGGTGCAGGTCTGGTGTTTCTGGCGCTATTGAGAGGAGGAAGTCATGTCCTGGAGGCCAGTGCAGCTGCCGTTCCTACCGTTCTTGGAGACGAGCAATCCAAAGGAGACATAAGAATTCAAGAACACGTTGTTCAACAACATCAAAGGCATGATCTTCAAGATCAACAAGCAGTCCTACATCAAAGGGATGATCTTCAAGATGCCCATGATGACAGGGGTCGAGTTCATCAAGTAGAAGAAAGGCATGATCAAGATGCCCATCATGGTAGACGGGGAGAAGGAGAACCTGAGAGCTGGCGAACTTGGAAAGGTCCTCAAGTTGAAGTTTTTGCGACAGCGAACGATTTTTCAAACTTTGAGATACAGCGAAGTGATGAACTCGACAGCGAGCAGTCCGACGAGAACCAGGGCAACAACGACGCGACAAGCAGTTCTAGAACTCGACGCCGTTTAGTAAAGGGCTCGCGTCGAGCACTGAGTGAGCCACCACGTGGTGGCAAGAGCGTCCGTTGGATAGGAGAAGAAAACGAGAGTCCACGGGATGATGTTGTGGAAGCAGATGCAGATGCAGTCCCGAGACCAGCCAAAAATGTCGCAAGGAAAGGAAAACTTCTGCCAGAGTCAGATGGTCATGGATCAGTGCCTGCTAAGTCTCCAGGTAGAAGTGGCGCGCAAACGCCGGAAATGTGGCCTTCATGGCAAAACGCGCCGCAAATCAACACATTCGCTCTCCAGTACGCTCTTAACAACGCATTTCCTATGGCCACCACGCCTTTTCCGACCGGCAACCCAGGCCCAAATGCGAATACCATGTTGGGGACCTCCACAAGTGCACCCGCGATAAGCGGGAGTGCAGCTTCAAATGAAATTGTAACTCCATCTCCAGCAGCAGTAAATAATGGGGCTGCCTTCAGCAACGTGGCCGCGACAGCACATTGTAGTAGCTATCAAATGGCAGCAGGGTCGTCTTGTGCAGCACAGCAGCAGTTCGTTGCAACCATGCAACCCATGCAAACCGCCACCCATATGCAAACTGTAGGCGACAATCAACATTTCTTCGGAGCCTTTCAGCAGAGCGTGGTGCAATCCAATGCGTTCCTAGCATCGACTTCTCAACCATACATCCAAAACCAGTTCGTGCCTCTGCAGATGGTGCCAGTGCCTGTGCCATACTTTCATCAGATCCCTGGTGGAGCCCAGGCTTCTGTTGGCGCAGTTGTAGGTTCTCTTTCAGGTCCTGGAATGGTAACAGGAATGATGATGCCAACGCATCAACAGAACATGCCAACGGCTGCAACTGCGGGTCTCAACATAGCTCAGGCTGCTGCAAGCGATGACGCGTCAAGCACAGGCGACAGCATGCGACGACGCAGCAAGAGAGGTGGTCGGCGTGGTGGAGTGAGTAGTACAGAAGATGTCGAATACAAAAGGCTTCTATCAGACGGCCTTATTTTTGGTTCCGAAGGGAGGGCGGCAGCTAGTTCGACCGCTGAGCGAGACGATGCATCCGGTAGCGTCACGGACGAAGGTAGTGTTAAGCCTCAATACAATTCATTTCTACAAGGCATTTTTTTCTATTTCCTTCGTAGGATTGGGAGAAATGCAGGCAAGAAAGGAATTGTTTTGAGCTCTAATAGTGTTACCGGCGCCGGAGGAAGACGGCAAGGACAACAGCATGCTGGTTCTTCATCAACGACCATGTATCATGTCGAAGAGGTAAAGGAAGATGTAGTGCGTACTACGCGAACTAGAACAAGAATTATCACAACCAGCACCGCCCCCAGTACAGGCAGAGATCCCGCTCCGGCAGCTCCGTCGACTCCCAGCAGTTCAACAGGTAGAGCCAAGGAGGTGGATCTGAGTGATTTTCTGAGGAAGTCTAGTGCAACACATTTTAGCAAACCGTCACCCTCAGCTGAGGGTGATGTAAGGCCACGGTCCTTTTTATCGGTTGCGAACGAACAAAAGGACACGGCAACAGAAGACAAGGAAGTGCAGAAAGCCGCTGGAAGTTGTGAAGATCTGACGCCTGCAGAAGAGGTAGTAGCATCGGGTGATGAAGCCGGTTCTTCGAATGATATTGTATCTGGTGTTGCTGGGCAGCAAGATACCGAGGATATGGATCCATCTAGAAGTACACCTTCACAATTCGAACAACTATTCTCGCCGGAGCAGATAAATACTACCAGTGCCGAGGCCCAACAAGACGAACCTTTGAGCTGGGCCGAGAAACTACAGGTTTCACAAGCACGATCCGAGCCGAGCGTTGCGAAGCCTAAAGCGGGAATAAACTTACCAGCACCTCCTGTGGCAAATCAGCCACCCCCGTCAAGGCCTCCCGGTGTGCACCACCAAAATGTCGTTCCAACATCTACCGTTGCGGGAGAGCAAATGAACTCTACTCGCGGACTACCTAGAACGTTCGCGAAAATTCATGCAGTTTCACGATCTATCCAGGTAGAAGGCAAACCGGAGCAGGCATCTCAATCTCGTGATGTACAACCACAAGAGGCGCTTGTGGGCAACAATGGCACTAAGAATAAAATAGGTACAGCGTCTGCAATTGCGTCGTCCCCCAGTGAAAATGAGGTGGAACAAAGAGAACGCGAGCAGGATCTTCAAAAACGCATACAACTTGCTAAGAAAGATCATGACCTACCTAGACCTACAGGGTCATCTACTGTCCTCCCTTCTTCTGACGTGGGACCCTCATTTGAACGAGACAGCAGTGCTCCTGGTTCCGAGAGTGACAAGGGCGCATCGACAAGAACTACATCAACTGCAGAGGTGACACGTAGATCCGTCGAGCGGTCCGATGCAAGTTCTGGGGTCGGAACTACACTGGCGGCGGCGGGCACACCTGCAAGTAGTGCTAATGAAGCACCAGCACCTGCTTTAACTGAAAGTCTTCTAGATGTAGAAGCGCCACCAGTTGCGGAACAAGAGGCGCCATGGTCTGCTGTAGTGAGCGGTCGTCGCAAAACAAAGGCTGTCAAAGCGCCGTGGACTCGTGCGCTCGCCCCAACAGTTTCTGGCCACCAAAATAAGGATTCTCATTCTGCAAGTATCTTGAAAGAGAAAGTGCAGGGTGGTAAGAAAATAGAGGATGTTGTGTCCGCGAGCCCGGACTCGAGGAAACAGTCTTCGAGTTTCGGGCTTACAGCTGGAGACGACTACGATAAAGAGGACTATAAGTGCACAACGTCGACGCCTGATGCGAAGAGTGACGTTGAGCCGGAGCCTGAAGTGAGCGTTAAAAGCGAGGAGCAGACACGGGGTGCCGCGAACAGTTCGGAGGTCGTGGAGAACGCTATCACAGAAGGTCAAGAAGGCGGTAATGGCTGTAAAGAAGGGAATGGCCGCGCGGTTCCGACGCAAGGGGATGGGGCCTGCGCAGACGAAGGTGAAGCCGCAGAGAGCGTTGACGCGCCTGCGCGCAGTAAGAAAGGTTTGCGGAAGAGTCGCGCGCGTGCACTTAAGCGACTGAAGCGGGAACAAGAAGCGGAACAGGAACAAGCTGCGCAAAGACTACAGGAGGAGACCGAGGGTGCACTAATGCCGGCTGTTGAAGATGCGGACAACCTTGGCGAGGTGGAGGATCCACGACAAGCAGTAGTAGCACATGAAAAGTCCTCGTCGATGGACATGGAGGTAGATGATGAGGCAGAAGCTGGAGGTGGACGTGGGGATGCTGAACAAGTGAATCAAGAGAGACCG